AACAAAGAGTATGATATATATGTTTCTCAAAAGAGTATGATATATATGTTTCTCAAAATTGGGTTCCTTATTTAGCGCTTCTTTAATTTTTTGCTTCATTTTTAAAATATCTCTTTTAAAAGATGAACTTTCTGGATCTGCTTGAGCAATTTTTAAGTTTTCAATTTTGTTCTTGTTTTTTGCTAATTTAACTTTAATATGGCATAGTGGGATCATTGTAATAGAACTTTTTTTTTTGTCTTTTATGTTATTTCTGTATCACTTGTGTGCATGTTTATTCTAAAATTGTTGACTTCGTGTCCACATAATGCTTTAGGTAAAGAAGGATAGCTAAAACATGACAAAAAAGTCTATTAAGATCAATGGGACATTCGAAATAACCCTTGAGGGGTGTCCCTCCTACAAAAAGTAAAATAGCAGAACATGCATCAATGATTTTCTTGTAAAAGCTTCTACATATACCCTATTGCTATCTGAATGTTTTTAACATATATAATTTTTCTGCTTATTAACATCTGGTATGCTTTTTGTTATTGTCATAATTTACCCTCTCTTTTATTGAGAACATATTCTTTAAAAAGTCTAGAGTTTACATAAGGGATGAGGTTTTGTTGTATCTCGTCAACATGCATACTTATCAAGAAAAAGAAACTTTTTTTTGCTTTTCGATAAAGTTTTTTAACTAGTTTTGGATTTGGTAAGAACTTCAAAATTCTTGCTTGCGATTTTTAACAGAGCCTGTGACACCAAGTCCTTGGTTTACAAGCCATTCAACACAAATCTTTCTTAAAGCCGTTGAAATGTTTAGTACATATTTAACTCTTAAACGAGTTAAATATTAATGTATTAACGATTTAAAGATATGCTTTCAAAACAGTAGTAGTAAATTAGTAGTTCACTTTTTTATTACTTTACTTTATATCGCTTAACTTTAAACCTTATATCGCTTTACTTTAATGTAATGTATAAAGTAAAACACCGCGACAATCAATGCAAACAATGTGATTTTCAATTAAAACAATCGTGATTTTCAATTAAAACATTTAACGCATGCGCAATCTCAACATTCTATACTTTTTTCAAAAAAAGGTTCTTATTTATTTAAGTTTTTTTTTTTTAATATCATATTAATTTTTTTTTAATTGAAATGAATTTATTTTTATTTTAAACGGATGACGTATTTAAATGGATGCAAAACCCGGTGTTCGTGTGTACGCCTTATTTAGAAAATAAACTGAGAGGTTTGATGTTGAGAGATATGTATTCTATAAAAAAAAAATAGTGGAATGGTTTCACAGCAAATATACGAGCAACGAGATATTAAAGAAAAAGAAGTAAAATTGTCTAAACGGAGATTCGACCACAGCATTTTAAGTATGAAGAGAACGCCTTCTCCAAAGCAGCTAAATGCGTAGTTACTGACTCAGACAAAATAAATATTATATAATAAAAAGGTATTAATTATCATGGATGTTTTGAGTGAACGTTATGGTTGTTTTACCAATAAGATAAAGCCATGTAAAAATGTGTACCTAAACGGTATTGAATAATTGAAAGTTAATAAATATATATACATGTGTGTTCGCCTTAACAGGTTTTTCATCCATTTAAAACGAGTACACCATTAATTTAATATTAAAGTAAATTCTATTAAATTAAAATAAATTAATATGAATTAATAAAAAATAAATTTAAATAAATAAATATATAGATAAACCTTTTTTTGTAAATAATATGGGATGTTGAGATTGCGCATGCGTTAAATGTTTTAATTGAAAATCACGATTGTTTTAATTGAAAATCACATTGTTTTAATTGATTTTCGCGGTATTTTAAATGAATGTCATCGTTGTTTTAAATGGTTGTCATGATTGTTTTAAATGAATGTAAAAACCGGTATATCTCTTTGGATTGATAAAATACTACTTTCGATCCGATCAAGACGGCCGACAAAATTTATATGGTTAGCCGGCTGATATGCTTTAGCACATCTATATATTAGCACATCTATATACCTTAATATGCAAATTGGGTAACTTTATTTTTTGAAGTATTATTTTTAAAACGGAAAACTAATAAGAGCATGCATAGCAATACCTTAATATGCAAATTGGGTAACTCCATTTTTTGAGAAAATGACTTAATGATGGCATTTTGTTGTTTGCATGCCAATATACATTGTGTATGGGCATGCAAACAATAAAATGCTATCATTTAGTCATTACGTCAAAAAATGGAGTTATGCAATTTGCATATTAAGGTACCGATATGTAAACAAACACAATATTTTTTGTCTACTATTAGTGCCCAGACTTTCCCATATAAAACTGGAATTTCCAAATAACCTCTGTCATTTGCTAACTTCAATCTGTTAAATTCACGCCAAACATTGAAGCGTACTCTCGAGCCCTTAATACAAGGGGAGTGGGGGTGGGGGGGTGGTAATTAAATAAGGGATGGGAGGGAAATTTTAGTTCAAACCTAATATGAGTGGAGTGGGGGGAATTTTTTCATGTTACAATATAAGTTTTTTTTTTTTTAAAGTTCAGTTTATAAACTTTAATATGTTGATAGGATTAAATATGTTAAAAATTTTATACTTTGGTGAGAAATAAATTAAAAGCTCATTTCCGATGAATTGAGATTTACTTGGTCTGTGATTTTTATAGGCACTGAAAAATTTTGTTTTTATTAGTGACTAAAAAAATTATCTTTTCATTTTTAAGGCCTATTTTTACAAATTTTTTTTTTTTTTTTTTTTTTTTTTTATGTTAACAAGTAAAAATTAATAAACAGGGGAGAGGGACACGGGTTTTTAATAAGCTTGGGATGGGTGGGAAATTTTTCCAAATAATAATAAACGCTCCCCTCCCTTTTATTAGGGACTCGAGAGTAAACATGATTTCCGTGGAGGCTCTATTGGTAGAACTGCTGATACATTTATTTATATCAATGCTTACGTTTTCAAAAACGCCACAAAACAAAACACACATTCCTTTTCGAGTTGTTGATGCGCAATTGACAATCGATAGTACACGTTCATGAAGAGTTCTGATACATATCCAATCACAATAGAACACTGATCCTGTACATTAATATCTTGGGTGGTATCAGTTTGAACACTAAACATACCGGTTCCTCTTATCTCTTCCACCAGCCTCAATGACTTTGTTAACTGTCGTTTTTGACAGAAATGCTACTAACAACGGATCAAATTTGTCAACAAGGAAAATAACCTCCAAAAAATTCCGATCACTGCCATCAAGCAATAAGTCCACGCTTACAAATAACTTTTAAAGTTTCTATTATTCATTCTAAAACTAAATGATTCTTTTTAAACTCTTCACCATATAAGCGTCTATAAATGCTTGTAATATCTTTGGTATTGATTTGTAACTCGTGTGACTCAAACATGTGAAACTGTACAGGCTGCACGGAGTGCACTGCTTCCATGTTTTGATATTTTTTTATAAATATGCTTGGAGTTCGTAGTTTTATATCCACTAATGAACGTTGATTAATCTGAGTCTTTGCTAAATGCCAGATAAAATGAACAAAACAACTTTTGTATAATTTTTTAAAGGTGAGCCAGTGACGAGGCTTTTTGTTTCTGAAATAAACGTTCTTGTAATTAATTTTAACGTTTAGATCAAAATATTTTTACTTTGGATGAAATTTAAAAAATAATTTCATAAAATTTGCTGGCGGTTTCAGAAAATAATTATAGTTATTTTTAGTTTCTTCACTTAGCTTGCATTAATTACTGTTCAATCTATATTTAATGTTAGAGTTGGGGTAAGAGAAAGCATTGACAGCATTTTTATCGAAACTATCCGCCGTTTCAATTTTAGAGTCATATGTCTCTGCCTCATTAGGTGATAATAGTAATACTGCACTAGTAGCATCGCAAATTAATGGAGATCAGTAATTATTTTTGTTTTTGCTATATCAGCCATATTGATATAATTGAGTTAGTACTAAAAGATGTTGCAAACTTATTCGCTAATTTTTTATATTTCTGAACATTGTTCTCTAAACGTATTTTCTTATTTGTTCTTCCTCAGCACCTCCTTTTCGTTTATTCATTTTTCTGTAGGGTAGAGTGTATATGCCGGAAATGAACTAAAATAATTTTGCACACATAAAAATTAATATATTATTTTAAAATAGGAAAAAAAAGGAATCAAAAAATTATTAGGCGAATAAATTGGGGTTAAACCGTAAAGTCATAAGAAACTAAATTATTTATGATTATTGTACATTGTCCCACAAACCTAAATAGTAGCATAATTTATAACAACAAAATATTATCAATAATACCAGCAGTGACTTCTGTCAGTAAACAATACACAAACAACAACAAATTTAATAATTCCGTAATTATAAAATAAATAGTTTAACATTTGTTAACTAATTTGAAAAATACATTTACACTAATTTGGTTACTTTACATTGATTATGGAGGTGTAATAGACTGGAGAGAGAAGTTAAAATAATTATTTCTTAATGAATAGTCTTAGTTGTAACATTTTCTATTAAACATTGCGTAATTATCATAATTTAAAGTTAACCATATTCCACTTTAAACAAAAATAATTCAGTGATATTGTTTTAAAACATCATAAGTAATTTATTCTAAAAAACAAAACCAAAGTCATTTGAAAAACTTTCTGCTTCTAGCCAGAGACAAAATATTTATAAGCATCTAAATCTTAGTAATTATTAATAGCCTCAAAAGAAAGCATTCTACGACGTTTTATTGAATAATGATAAACATCATAGTATTGAATTTATGGCCATTCATTTAGGTATCTTTTCAAACATTTGCAAGATACTTGTATGGACGTTGTTTGATTCTATTGATTGCAAGTTTGTTTATATTCAATTATGCAGCGTTAAAGTCTAATTTTTCAAAGTATTCATGAAGCAACATTTCTTTTTTTAAACTTTTTATGTCACTTTTTTGTACAAATTTTTTATCTTTATTAACTCAACTAATCATTTGTCATCCAAGATGGTAACAATTCGCGATAATAAAATTTGCAATATCACGTGACTTTCCGACTGCGAAGATACCTGTTAATGAGCTCTGCAAGAAACAATTACTTCACTTTAATCGTGGTTTTTGTTGTAATTAACTTCTTAATTGATTGAATAGTTGTTAAAAATCTATCTAATAAACTTTTAAAAGATTAATCTACTTCGATTACAGCTTTCAAAGCGTACAAGTTACATTTCAAAATTTTTCATTTTATGCAAAAGCGCCATCTGACTTGCCGCTGGAATAATTATACAACAAAGAATATATCGGGTTTGAAATCATTTTCGGCTTCGTTCTTTCCCCAGCTATTACCGTTTTTTACATCCATTTAAAACAATCATGACAACCATTTAAAACAACGATGACATTCATTTAAAACACCGCGACAATCAATTAAAACAATGTGATTTTCAATTAAAACAATCGTGATTTTCAATTAAAACATTTAACGCATGCGCAATCTCAACATTCTATACTTTTTTCAAAAAAAGGTTCTTATTTATTTAAGTTTTTTTTTTTTTAATATCATATTAATTTTTTTTTAATTGAAATGAATTTATTTTTATTTTAAACGGATGACGTATTTAAATGGATGCAAAACTCGGTGTTCGTGTGTATGCCTTATTTAGAAAATACACTGAGAGGTTTGATGTTGAGAGATATGTATTCTATAAAAAAAAAATAGTGGAATGGTTTCACAGCAAATATACGAGCAACGAGATATTAAAGAAAAAGAAGTAAAATTGTCTAAACGGAGATTCGACCACAGCATTTCAAGTATGAAGAGAACGCCTTCTCCAAAGCAGCTAAATGCGTAGTTACTGACTCAGACAAAATAAATATTATATAATAAAAAGGTATTAATTATCATGGATGTTTTGAGTGAACGTTATGGTTGTTTTACCAATAAGATAAAGCCATGTAAAAATGTGTACCTAAACGGTATTGAATAATTGAAGCTTAATAAATATGTATACATGTGTGTACGCCTTAACAGGTTTTTCATCCATTTAAAACAAGTACACCATTAATTTAATATTAAAGTAAATTCCATTAAATTAAAATAAATTAATATGAATTAATAAAAAATAAATTTAAATAAATAAATATATAGATAAACCTTTTTTTGTAAATAATATGGAATGTTGAGATTGCGCATGCGTTAAATGTTTTAATTGAAAATCACGATTGTTTTAATTGAAAATCACATTGTTTTAATTGATTTTCGCGGTGTTTTAAATGTCATCGTTGTTTTAAATGGTTGTCATGATTGTTTTAAATGGATGTAAAAACCGGTATATCTCTTTGGATTGATAAAATACTATTTTCGATCCGATCAAGACGGCCGACAAAATTTATATGGTTAGCCGGCTGATATGCTATATATTAGCACAAAATATAACAACTTTTTTTCTGGCCTATAATAGGCTATAGCTTATTATACGATAAAAAAAAAGTTATATTTTTATTTACAATTTTTTAATTACATTTAATTTACCGTAGATTATAATAATCAAAAAAAAATAAAATGTAGCCTAACTAAAAAACTGATAACATTTTTTTTAAGGGATAAAAGATATTAGCTTATAATTAAATTTTATGAGAGCCTGCTCACCGGGAATCTCCCAGTATTCTGGCAGCCCAGTCCAAGCCTGCTAAGAATAGTTATAAGTAAAGAAATCAATAAAAAAGAAATAGAAAAGCGTAAATAAACATAAGCATTAGTTTTTTCGCTAAGGAAATTATTATGCAAGAGTTGTTTTTTCCTTTAGTTGGATTACTTTTCCCCTCCAGCCATGTGTTACGATTGTCTCGGTTTATCTGAAGTTTAACGTAGTTTAACGCAAAACTGGCACAATAGTCACCCTACTCTAGCCGGTCACCGGTCGCCACTGAAGACGAGTTTGGTCTACTCATTATAATGTTTGTAGATTAGGCTCGACCTAATATCAGGTTACATGCTCCAATCGTTACTTTTCCAACAGCCATACTAGTTATGGTTAGAGATAATGGAATGTTATTTTATTAAGTTGATTATGAAGTTAAATCGACGACAAAAGTTGCTAAGCATTTATGTAAATAAATGAAAATGTCTAATAAAGACATAAGCAAACAGTGTTCAAAATGGCTAAATAAGAATTTTTTATGAACGTATCTTCATATAAATACTTTACTATAATCTTTGCGTGAATACTTTATAAGATGTTTTAAGAGAAAAATAATTTATTCAAATAAGATTTTATAAAATTCTTGCAAGTTTTTCACAAACTTAAGTCGTTTAGATAATATTGCTCTATCAATTTATATTAAAAATTAATTATATATTAAATCAAGTATTGAAGAAATTTTAAAATCATTCACCAGAGAAAAAAATATTTGTTTCGTAAAGATATTATAAATTTGAAAAATATGCGTTAAAAATGGAAAAATATATTTATATATATTTGTATATTGGTGTTTTATTAGTTTTATATTCTAAAGAGACTCAAGCAGGTAATAAAAATTATTCTCTTTTCTTATATCATATATGTATATATATATATATATATATATATATATATATATATATATATATATATATATATATATATATATATATATATATATATATATATATATATATATATATATATATATATATATATATATATATATATATATATATATATATATATATATATATATATGTTTAAAAAAATAATTTCTATATTTATGTTTTATATGTATATATATATATATATATATATATATATATATATATATATATATATATATATATATATATATATATATATATATATATATATGTTTAAAAAAATAATTTCTATATTTATGTTTTATATGTATGTATATATATATATATATATATATATATATATATATATATATATATATATATATATATATATATATATATATATATATATATATATATATATATATATATATATATATATATATATATGTTTAAAAAAATAATTTCTATATTTATGTTTTATATGTATGTATATATATATATATATATATATACATATATATATATATATATATATATATAAATGTGTGTGTATATATATAAAATAATTAAATTTTTTGTTTTTGTAAAAATGCATATAAAAAAAAAATAATAATAACAAATGATAATATTTATTTTTAATGACTATTTTATATTTATAATAATAATAGTTATTTTAATCATAAAAAATATTCAAAATAATATTGATAAAATTTATAATAAATATTTTATAATGATTTAAAGCCTATACAAACGAGATTGGGAAATTATAATTGTTTTAGACTGCATAACTGTATGATTACTATGTATATATGTGTGTGTGTGTGTGTGTGTGTGTGCGTGCGTGTGTGTGTTTATATAGCAGCTTCGCATATTAATGGAGATCACTAATTAGTTTTGTTTTATATATATGTATATGTATATTATATATATATATATATATATATATATATATATATATATATATATATATATATATATATATATATATATATATATATATATATATATATATATATATATCAGTGGCGGAACTTCAAAATTTGGCCCCCCCCCCCCCCCCCCCCCCGCAAGAGAATGTTTTTTTTGCGGAAAAGAGTTTTATAGTATAAATATTATTGAGAGTATAACTTTTTTTATATGAGGGCCCCTTATAGCTGGTAGGCCCCCCCGCAACGCAGGGTCCTGCGTCCAGTAGTTCCGTCACTGATATATATATATATATATATATATATATATATATATATATATATATATATATATATATATATATATATATATATATATATATATATATATATATATATATATATATATATAATGTATATATATATATATATATTTATATATATATATATATATATATATATATATATATACATTGGATTTAAAAGTTTTTTGAATAATAAATATTTTTAGTAACATCTTAAGACCCTTGAACATTTAATAGGTCCCTAGTAATAACAAAAATAATTAAAATTTTTAAAAAATTATTGATAAATAATAGTTATACTAAAAAACTTTGTTAAAAAGCATATTTTTTATTCTTAGTTAAGAAATGTCATTTTCAAGACAGTGAAATCTATAATAATATTATTTTTTAATAAAGTAATGATTATTTTTGAATTTTTCATATAATTTTATTTAGTTTGCAACTTGACATTTATTAAGATTCAAGACCCATTAAATGTTCTAAGGTTTTGAAAAACTCTTTAAAAAAAAATGTATAAGAATTTTCAAAATAATAATCGTATTTTATAAAAAGATCTTTAAAATAAAGTTTATAAAAAAATTTGAAAAAATCAATTTAAAAAAAAAAAGCATATTTTATATGTAATAAAATTTGATTATTAATGTATATATATATCTGTATATAAAATGATTGTTATATTTGAAAATTCAAAATATTTTTGCTTTATTTTTCTGAAAGTATTAGGAACTAGTTCAATCCTATGCCACCGAGGAGCAAGGTGAAATTTGCTTCTTTTGAGACCCATGACAAACTTTTGAAGATTTTTTTCAAAGTATTAGAGTGTAGATATTGTTGATTTCAGTTTTTTTTTTTGATTTTATAATTTTTTGTCATACTGCTTCACATAGAGTCATTGGAGTTTCTTTTTGGAGCATCTTTCAAAAATATTTTTTATATTACCACCCTAGTGCTCAGTCCTTTTATTTTTGTTATTGTTTTGGATTTTCACTCAAAAAGTTCATTGCGGGTTTATTATGAGAACTATTTTATGCTAATGGTTTATGCTTTATTGTAGAGATAGCAGAAAAACTAATGCTAAGAGTTCATTTCTGGAAAGATGGAATAGAAGCAAATTGGTTATAGGTAAACTTCACAAGACAGTTTTTTATTGTAAAGGCAAGAATGAATGAGTAGACATTACTGAAAATAATGTGGTCATGTAGAATGAAAGTAGTCATGTAGAATGTAAGGAAAAGATTTAGAGTAATTTCTATTGTTCATATATTATGTAGACAAAGTGGATCACAAGAGTGGTGGTATCCAAAATGTTCTTAATAAATTGGTTTTGAGTGTACAAATCTTGCTTTTGGCAAATACAGAGAAGTCAAAGAATTGATTAAAATAGTTGTGAAACAGTAGGGTGTGTTAATAAGCTTTTTTATATCAGAGATACAATTAGACTGGTAGTAAAAGATGGATTAAAAGCAAGAATAAGGTGTTCTTGATCTATATATATCAGTGAAAAATATGCAATGAAGATGGTGTCCTATGAAAAGAACAGAGAAGATAATTATTAAATGGTGTTACTTTGTATGATAAGAAAAAAAGCTTACAAAAAGTCTTGCATCTCTGAATTTGATTTCACTGTTAATATAGAAAAGTACTAAAAGTGTGAAGTAAAAAATTAGTTCAGCTTTATAAAGCAATTCTAACTTAGAATTACACGTACATTTTTACGTCGCCAAAGTCTTATATAGAAATTAACAATATTCAGTGTGTCTGATATTGTCTTTCAAAGAAGATTGAGATAAATGTATAGTGTCAAGATAAAACATTTATTGAGTAGGTCACTTCTAATAGGACTTTTTAATTTTTTTTTTGTGTTAAAAGTTTCAATATGATTCACAATACCAATTAGCTGAAATCCAACTTAAAAGTTGAAATATTTTTTACAAATTTATTTGCTTAAGAAAGTTAAACAGCGTTTTCTGTCCTCTTTTTGTAGGACTTGAAACTTTTTAGGCATGTGAGTCACAAGAGTACAATTATTTAAAATGTTACATTACTCATGAGGATTGACATGCTGACAAAATGTTGTACGAGATGGCGCTTTAAACATTTTAGACCAAAACCAATTAGTTGTATTAATTATTTAAATTTATTTTTCAAAAAACAACAACTATCAAACTATTGCAATGTAACTTCCTTATACCTCTTGCTCATAAAAAATTCTAAACAACAAATAAATAAGCATTTAAATTTAATCCATAATGTATATTTTTATAAAGTTAATTAAATTGGTTTTCATTTATATGCTATCAAAATGTTTTATTTCTTTGAAATGAGGATACGAGCATAACTCTGGGTTTATCAACAAATAGTCTTCCCCTCACCACTTCTATCAACAATAGAACCTTTTTTTTTTTTAATTTTTTTTAAGACAGGATAAAGCAGGATCAAAATTGATATTCATTCTCTGATGGTAATTTTTTAGACTCCAGATAAGATATTTAAAGTTTGTTAATTACAGGCTCAAAGATTACTCTAATATTAATAAGAGGTCTGATTGTGTGATAGTTAGACGAGTCAGAGTGTTCTCCAGAGGTTTTTTAAGTTAGAGGAACTTTGAAAACACTCCAAATGTTTTTTAAACACAGAACAGATATACTTTTCTAGCTGGTAGGAAAATAATTGTTTTAATTATGTACTGAATTCATATTTTTACAAACATAGGCAAGCAATTATAAAACTTGCTACCATGGTAATCATTTAGATATGTAAAAAACTCACTACACATTTTATTTTTAGACGGCATACAACTTTCAACCTGAATATCCTAAAGTGTCAGCATGCAAATTTAAATACATGTGACAAATATATAATATTCGTTAAATATTATTTTATAATTTTTTTATTGTAATTATTTGCTTTTCAAGTTTGATATGTTTTATTAAAACAAAAATTCATTCAGTTTTTTCCAATTCATTTTGATATATATGTATGTAAGGTTAAAAAATATTACTTTTTAAATGCCTGTTGTTTTCATGCTTTTTCAAGAGCAATTATTATTTTATTAAGTTATAAAATATAATTTTAATTTGTTTTATTAGTTAAAATCATTTCAGTGATAAAATATTTTACATTTTTACAGTTTTTTAAATATTATTCAAGATCACTAAGTATATTAAGAATGTTTAGCCTTAGTATAATTATGTTAAACACATAATTTGGTATAATTATGTTAAACATACAAGCTCAAAACAATTCATTATGCCTAACAGAACTGTCATTGAAAAATGGGGGTTTAAATCCTGCGGATTTCAAACTGCTGATTTAGGTGAAGTAATTTTAATATAGAAACTCTGAATAGTCTTGCCAAGTGTAAAATATGTATTCAAGTATTCAAAGCTTTAAAAAAATTGTCATAAAAATAAAGGCTGTGCTAAATTAGCAACAGAAACATTTGTACGGGTAACAGTTATAAAAAAAAAATAACTTGATGATGATTGGACAGAAAAATCTGATAAAGAGAAAATTATGTCTATATGACAATCACCATTGCACGGAAACAATGTTTATATGTGAGAACAAAAACTATTTTTAGTATTTTTAACTTTTGTTTTCCCTCCATCAATTTACATATAAGTTCATACTATACTACAATTAAATATTAAAAAACGCCACTCCTACTACTTAAAAATTTAATGCTTATTTCTCGTAGAGGTTAAACAACCGGATGTAAATTGTCTACTCATTTTGTTAAACCATTTACCGTTTTAAACAAAATTTTAGCCTACAGTACATAAACTAAATTTTTATTTCTAAACAACGTTCTTTCTATAAGCAATATAAAAAACCAACTAAAATGTAATAAATAAACTATGACCATTATTTAAAAAAAAAAAAATAACTTTGAAACTAAAATATCACTAATTCATAAATTTGGTATATACTTAATTTATTACACAAAGTTTAATTTCTACATTTTAAAAAATATTATTGTCTGAAGCTATGTTATTATAAAGAAATCCTTTTTAATCAATTAATCATTACCCCTATTGTAACAGAAAGCAAAAAAATCCAATTTTATTTTGCCGACTTCAGGTGAAGCTAAGGTTGACACGGTTGCGCTGACCTGAATTTCCTCGAATTTCGCGGGCTGTATATATATATATATATATATATATATATATATATATATATATATATATATATATATATATATATATATATATATATATATATATATATATATATATATATATATATAAAACACACACACAAAAAAAAGCATAAAAAAGAATAGCTATACAAATAGATATATAATAATAGCAATTTTTTTTTTTAATCTTGTAACTCTAATGCATATTTTCTTTTATTTCAGTCTCATGTAATTGCTCAGCAACATATTTGTCAGGTTGTGATCCTGGTTACTCTTTAACATTTTTTAATGGTTCATGGACATGCTTCATTTGTTCATCTGGATATTAGTAAGTTAATAAAGATTATATCATTCCACTGATAAGATTTTGTATTTATTACATTAGTAATAAATAAATAGTTTTTGTAAATAAACGCTATAGATCAAAATTAGGCAGATGTTTTTTTAGGTAGGAATTTTTCACTTATTGGCAAAGTAACTTTGCTTATTAAGATTTTATACATATTACGCAGAAAAACAATTTTAAAAAGTTTTTAAGTTTAAAAGCTTGTTTTATGAAAAATTTTAATTGCAAATTAAAAAAAAAGACTATTGTATTTTAACAGCAACATCATTAATTGATATTTATTTTAATAATAGTTGTCCAGGTGGAGTTTCACCTCCGAAAATTTGTCCTTATGGTACATATAACGAAAATGATGGTCAGTCAGATATAGGAGCTTGTAAGGTAATTTAATGTCAGGTATCCTTAATATTAAATATATTTGAAAAACAAAAGAAGTGACCAATAGCAACATTGTGTCAAAAATGACATTTTATTAGACATCATTTTAAAGGTGCAAAATGGCACTATAATGAATCTTAATTCTATTCAAATGAGCAAAAATAATTGTCATATTTCTCAATCGCAATTCTTAGAAAAATTAGGCTAAAATTGTTGCATCATATAAAAAGAAAAACTCAATGCAAACATGCACTAATTTTATGATATTTTTTGAATTTGACAATATCAAACTTTATTACATTACCTATTCTATTCTTGATTATAAATGACATAATTAACTTTCTATTTTTTGATTATAAATGACATAATTAACATTCTATTCTTGATTATAAATGACATAATTAACATTCTATTCTTGATTATAAATGACATAATTAACATTCTATTCTTGATTATAAATGACATAATTAACATTCTATTCTTGATTATAAATGACATAATTAACATTCTATTCTTGACATAATAACATTATTTAATTATGACTGAAAACTTATTTTAATAAGTTTTCAGTCATAATAAAAAATGTCATTATGTCAAAATTTAAAAATAAAAGATTGTACAAAATCACTCAAAAATTACATTTAAAAAACAATTTTAATCAATTTATTTTTATGTTTAAAAGGTATTTTTGTAACTATTTTTAATAAAAACTTAAATTTGGCAAAAAAATAAAATTAAAAAAAAACACACCAAGGGAGAGAGGGAAGGAGGGAGAGAGTGATATATATATCAAGTGTGATATGTTTATGTACATCAAACCTTTAAATATATTAGCTTAAGTTTTATAGTCGAATACTGTGTTTCATTAATTTTATAATTTAATTTTGAGTTTAGATAAATTATTGTAATTTCTTTAAACAATTTTTTTAAAGGATTGCCCGTCAGGTTCATATTGTCCCAATAGAGACAAAGCTCTTCCGTGTGCTTATGGTACATACACAAATGTAACAAAAAGCATATCATGTCTTCCTTGTCCACAAGGCTATAGTTGTTATATTTCATCATATTTGCCTAAAAAATGTAATAGTGGTTACTATAGTTTAGAAGGTAATGCATCCTGCTTTACATGTCCAGCTGGTTATCAGTGTTTAAATGGAGGGCCTCCTGTCATATGTAACATTGGTGAATATTCCCCATTTTCTTCAGAGTTTTGTTATTCTTGCCCTATTGGCTATAAGTGTGAAACAAGTGGAATGGATAAACCAACCCCATGCCAGATAGGATATTACACAAATGCAGAAAGACAGACATCTTGTATCATTTGTGAGGCTGGTCGTAGCTGTATTAATAGAAATGCTTCTGAAATTTGTCCAGCTGGTATGTATAGTCAGCCTGGCAATGGCTCTTGTTTTAATTGTTTTTTTGGTAGTTACAGTAGTGCTGGCGCTTCATCTTGCACACTTTGCCCTGCTGGTAAATCTTGTCTTGATGCAACACATTTACCAGAAGATTGTCCACAAGGTTACTATTCAAATATTGGTGATGGAAAGTGTGCTCTGTGTAGTTTGGGCTACAGATCTAATTCAAACAAGACAGCTTGCGTGTTGTGTGATGCTGGTTACTATTGTCCTCATCCTAGGTAAGTATCATTTTTGAAATGTCTAAAATAATATAAATTTGAATTTTTGTTTATTTATTTTATGTTAAATATGTTTTTTGTTATGCACTATATATGGATAATATAAATTTTATTAATTTTTGTTAATTTAATCCTAGTTATTCAATGATACCATGTCCTGCTGGAATGTATTCACTTGGAGGTTCATACTTAAATTGTACTATCTGTCCTGCAGGTTTTGCTTGCCCTGTTTCAAATGCTGCACCAATACCATGCTCTGGAGGTTGTGAATAATTACAAATATAAACTATACAAACATACATATATACATGTATTAATTTATCTATCTATATGTATATATGTATATATGTGTATGTATGTTAGTAGTTATGTATTTATGTATGTATGTATGTATGTATGTATGTATGTATGTATGTATGTATATATGACATTTCGGTATGTATGTATACATGTACATATATGTGTTTGTATATATATACATATACACACATATATATGTTTGTGTGCATATATATATGCATATATACATGTTTGTTTATATGTATAAATGCATATATGTATGTATATATATGTATATATATATAGGCCTCGGCGGGAACAAATGAGTACGAGAGCTGAGAAAAGCTCTCCTAAAACAAATTTGGGGAGCTGTGCGAGCTGCTCCTCATTTAAATTAGCACTCTTTTGTAATTTTAATTATACCTTCATGAGAAAAATTATACTTTTGCAAGAGCCGTAAATTGCTCCTGTAAACTGTTTTAGGGGAGTGTGGGCGAGAGCGAGAGCTAAAGCTCTCGCTTCCCGCCGAGGCCTGTATATATGTGTATATATATATATATATATATATATATATATATATATATATATATATATATATATATATATATATATATATATATATATATATATATATATATATATATATATATATATATATATATATATGTATATATATTTATATATATATATATGCATATATATATATATATATATATATATATGTATATATATATATATATATATATATATATATATATATATATATATATATATATATATATATATATATATATATATATATATATGTATATAGCAACTTATTCGTTATCATTTTCATTATCATGCATGGTTTGTCCTGCTGGATTCAGATGCCCAGGCAGATTATATGCTGAAGAGTGTCCGTTTAACTCTATTCAAGGATACACATATAGTACCGATCAAAGTAATTTTCTTATTTGAATTTCTAAAGATCAATAATTATTGATTATTAAAAATATTTTAATGATTTTGACCAGTTTTATAATATCCTAGTACTTTTTTATTGTTTATTTTTTTGTTTTAATTTAATTTAAAATGTATTTTTTTTTTGATAGCATGAAAAAAAAAAGTTTTATTTTCAAAAAAAAAAGATTGTTGTTTTTCACTATAGTAATTTAATTTTTTAAACTCATGCGGTATAAGTGTGGTATTAAATTAAACACATGCGGTATCAATGCGATAGTGGTGTAGTGGTAAAGCCCTGCTTTATAAGTGAGAAGTTCTGTGTTCGATTCCCACCACGTCCCTGGTAGTACCGCGTTCAACTTGTTTCTCCGCACAGCGGCCTTGTTCGTCAAGGTTCGTGTTTCGGATTTATAGAGTTAAGAGAGGGTTATAACCACAATTAAGTAGCCTCCTCATCTGTCGTGGCCTTTTTGGTCTTGGAAAGGTGAATTACAAAAAAAAAAAAAAAAAGCATTAAAATAAGTTATTATTGAAAACATTTTTTGATTTAATGTTTTTAATTCAACATCACTTATTTAAAAAGTAATGCAAAAAGTTCTTTAATTAGCTAATTTTCATTCATTCTAATAAATAAATCATTTATTCTTAGTTTTAACAAAAATTTGAAGAAAATAGTTAATATTACAAAAACATTTCTTCTTAAAAATACAAAAGCAAAATAAATAGTTTCTCTCATACTTATTTTGTTTTTTTATTATTCAAGAATAATATTTTTTCGAATTATATATTTTTAGATATATTTTTTATTTTTAAGATCAAATGAAGTAGAACATTCTTTGATAAAAAATTTTTTATCATTAAAAAATTTGACAATACTGATAAAATAGTGTATTAAAAAAAATCGAATCTGTGGGGTCATTAGAGTAGATATTTATGTAATAATATTGCTTTATGCTATTTTAATGAATATATATGTACACCTATATAAAAATATATATATATATATATATATATATATATATATATATATATATATATATATATATATATATATATATATATACTCATTTCTGTGGGTTTAGGTTGGCAATGGCCAAAAATTTTTTTAAATTGCAAATAAAAAGACAGGTAATCAGTTTTTTAGACAAAGCACAGTTTCAATTTTTATTTTTTTTGTAGTGTTAGATTGCGCAACATGTCCTTCCAAATATACTGGACAAGTTTGTAAATCAAGATATCAACAACCATCATCTTGTAAAACTGGCGAAATCGTCATTCAAAATGGGACTGACTGTATATTATGTTTTTCTGGATATCAATGTCCTAGTCCTGGTCAAGATATGATTAAATGTCCTCAGGGAATGTGGTCATTGGCAGGTTCTACCTCTTGTGCAGTGTGTCCTTTAGGTTTTTATTGCCCTAATGATACATCGATCCCGATACCTTGTCCTTCTGGAAGCTATCGGTCTCTAAATAGTAGTGTTTTATGTTCTCCCTGTCCTGGTGGTTTTTCTTGTGAAGATCCTAGTGCTGCTCCAGTACCATGTTTACCAGGTAAATTATCATAATGTTGTTTGTAAAAACTTTTTATCAATCAACAGTTGCTAAAAATTGTATTGTTATTAATCTAATTTTATTCAGGATTTTTAAGCAGCCCTGGTTCATCTCTATGTACAATTTGCCCGGCTGGATATTCCTGTCCAGATGTTACAAACCCAACAAAGAATGTTCCTTGTGAAAATGGAACTTACTCAATTGCAGGAAATCTTATTTGTACACCATGTAATGCTGGATATTACTGCCCTAGTACCATGTAAGTACCATGTATAGCACCATGTAAGTATCATGTGTAGCACCATGTAAGTACCATGTATAGCACCATGTAAGTACCATGTATAGCACCAATGTAAGTACCATGTATAGCACCATGTAAGTACCATGTATAGTACCATGTAAGTACCATGTATAGCACCATGTAAGTACTATGTATATCCTCATGTAAGTACCATGTATAGCACCATGTAAGTACCATGTATAGTACCATGTAAGTACCATGTAAGTACCGATTACATTAATTCATAGAATACTCAGAATTTACTCAAAATATTTATTGGTTTATATTCAGAATATTTAATGGTTTATCTTTTTTGTTTATAACTAACATATCATTATTAGTGGGAGTTATGTTCACTATAAAATGTTTTTATAGTGATCAAAACATTCCTACTAACTTATAAAATTATAAATGTCTTCAGTATTTTTGCAGTTACTAAAATGACTAGTTTTATTTATTTAGGATTAGTACAATGTTAGATTGTCCTCCTGGCTATATTTCTGGTGCTGGTGCATATTTATGCACACCATGTCCAGCTGGTTACTTTTGTGACACACCTGTATCTGCTCCTAGCAAATGCAATCTAGGTCAATATGCCAAACAAGGATCTGTGATGTGTTATTCATGTCCTGCTGGTTATGCATGTCCATCCACAACATCTGATTTTTTTGTAGTTTGTCAGCCAGGCTGGTATTCAATAGGTGGTCAAGCCAACTGTACGCCATGCCCTGCTGGGAAGTAAGTACTTGAATTAAAATTTTTTATCTACAAAAACGATTTTTTAATTAAAATAAGCATAAATGTATAAAATTAATTTATAGTTTTAAATGTAAATAATTGGGTTTGTTTCTAATTATTTGTGTTTACAAATTAATGAATACAATGATTACACTTATATAATGAATACACTTAAAAATTTACAGTTCGTTAAACTAAGTGTTTTTTAAGGTTGTTTTTTTTTATCTTTTTTTTTTTTAATGTTAGCAGTTACATATTTTATAGAACATGTTTTGATTGAGTGAATTGAATATCAAGAAATGAATGCCAAATATATTTTAACTCAATGTTGATTTTCCCAATTAACAATTTTCTTAAATTGTTAATTGGGAAAATTAATTTCTTCATTAAAATTACAATTTTCCCAATTTTATTATTTTATTATTATACACAAATTCACTCCTAAGTAAAATTCAGGCAACTACTTTCACCAGTTTTTATTCAACATGGGAGAAAAAAATATATTCTATCAGACTTGAAAAATAGGGTTCTGAAAAGGCTTATTACAAATTTTATTAGTTCTAAAAGCTGGCCAAATACAGAAAAACGAATTGCCTCGATGTGAACTAGATTGTTATATAACTTTGTGCTCAACATCATCTTCATCATCATCATCATTATTTTTTTGAAACTTTTTTTGTGAACTATTAGCTATAGATTTTATGCAAATAAAAAAATAAATAGTGTTATTTCCAGATGCCATTATATTGACACATTTAATTATATCTAGATATTGTCCACGCACGGATAAAAGTGATGCTTACGATTGCCAGCCGGGTACCTTTTCAACTTCTAACTCATCCAGTTGCCAGTACTGTCCACCTGGGTACATGTGTCCATATACTAATCTAGCAGTTGTGTAAGTATGTTTATTTAAAGTTTAGAAAAATATATTATATTTATATTTTTAGTTAAGGTGTCCATAAGTACGTACACCAAAAATTTCAAAATTTGACCACCTCTCCCTGTTGCAATTGGTACTTTTAAGTCCCCTCCTCCCCTTAAAAAGTATGTATACTTTTGAAACCCCCCCCCCCTCCTTTTTTTTTTATTAAAAAGTTTATTGAAAAAAAAAAGTGAAGGGGGTAGCTTAGATACTTTATACAACCTCAGAGCCCTTGGTTTCGGCAGAGGATCCTAATTTAAAAGACATATATGTCCTCAAATATATATATATACAAGTATCTATTGGTTCGCTGGTTAGTTTGGATAAATTAGGAAAGCGATGTATGTACTTTTAAATTGAACCCACCAATATGCTTTCGTACACTACTTGAAGAACCCCCTTCCTTACACTTTTATACGTACTTTGTGGACAACCCTTAAGTGATATTCACTCAATTTATTCTTCTCTGCTCTTATTTCTCTTGCTTTAATAAGGTTTGTATTTCAGATCTATAGTGTTGAGAGAGGATAATAACAAACACCACCAGAGAGAATGATAATAACAACATAATATAAAATTAAATTATTTCATTGGCTTCAGTGATCTATTTATAATTAGGTCTTGGCTTTTTTTTATATATTTGCCTTAAGAATGTGAATATATAAAAAATTATGAATGTAGCTATGATAGTGGATTTTTCAAGTTTTACCAAGGTTAGATAATGCAAGGTTAATGACTACACAAGATTGGTTGGACTACAGATCACAGTATCCTAAACTTTAATTCATTAATGGCGCACTGGATTACTTTAGAGATCAATTCAATTATTTGTGTTCTTTTGGTACAGCTATATAAAATGCAGCAGCAGCAAAATTTACCATTCAATTTACCATTCAGTTATACAAAATATATCAATTTCTCTACATTTTTTATTTTCAAGAAACTCGAGTTCATTTTTAAAAGAAGAAAAACAATTTATGAATAAGTTTACATACATTTTTAATTTTCTTATTCTGCAAGTATTTATCATGGAATGTTTTTTCTATGATAAATATCTGTTGAAATATGATACATAAAGTTGATTAAGTCACAAATTTGTGAATTATTCAACTTCGGTCTCGAATAAATTAAGATTGTCTTGCATATGGATTTCGATCTTCTTGTTCTACAGCTGTTTTGCTAAAATTAATAACAGATTACTAACAAGGTTTTATCATGTTTTAGATAGATAAGCTTAGCAGTTAAGCTTATTGCTCTTGGTATTTCTAAAGCTTTTGATTAAGTTTGGCATGCTGGTCTTCTCCATAAGTTTTTTCTCCATAAGTATCTGGTGACATCTTTAAGATTATTGAATCCTTCCTTTCCAATTGTAGTATAAACATTGCCCTCAATGGACTGCACTCTTTTTCATATCCTGTAACTTTAGGGGTTCCTCAAGGTTCAATCTTTGACCCTATACTGTTTTTAATTTACATTAACAATCTTCCAGATATTCTCACATCTAAGGTAGTATTTTTTGCTGATAATACTACCATTTATTTTTGTTTTGATAATAAGCCAACACTATCTGGACAATATACCTGTTATAGTCTTGCAGAAGTGTTCTCCAGAGCTCTTGTCTATCCTTTCAAAACTATTAAACAAGTGCTTATCACTTGTTGAATAGTTTTGAAAGGATAGACGAGTCTTGTTTTCCAGCCTGCTGGAAAGCAGCATCTGTTATCCCTGTTTTTAAAAATTCTGGAGAGCGATCTGATTACTAACTACCGTCGCATTAGTCTTCTTCCTATCATAAGCAAGGTTTTTGAATCTTTAATTAACAAACACCTAATCTCTCATCTTGAATCTAATAACTTACTTTCTGATCATCAATATGGATTTCGATCTTCTCGTTCTATGGCTGATTTGCTAACAGTAATAACCAATAGGCTTTATTGTGCATTAGATAAAGGTGGAGAGGTTAAGGCCATTGCTCATGACATTTTTAAAGCATTTTATAAAGTTTGGCGTGCTGGTCTTCTCCATAAGCTATCAACTTACAGTGTATCTTGAAACATCTTTAAGATTATTGAATGGAGATCACTTTTCTTATTATTTTGTAACCTCAGGGTTTACAGAATAATAGGAAAAGTTATTCAATCCTTCCTTTCCTTTTAGTATAAAAGTTGTCTTTGATGGAGAGCACTTTTCTTATTATTTTGTAACCTCAGAGGTTCCTCAAGGTTCAATCCTTGGCCCTATACTCTTTTTAATTTACATTAACAATCTTCCAGATATTCTCACACCTAAGGTGGCATTGTTCGCTGATGATACTACCCTTTATTCTTATCATGATAAGAAACCAACACTCTCTGATTGCTTGGAGGGGACATTTGAGCTTGAAAAGGGTTTCACTTCTGCTACAGCATGGGGCTCACAGTGGCTGGTGAACTTTAATTCAGATAAAACTCAATTTTTTTCAGCCAATCGTTATCGCAATAATTTAGACATTTCTATATTTATGAATGGTAATGTACTCGATGAATCATCTACCCTTTATCTTCTAGGGTTAACTCTTCTGATTTTTCTTGGAAACCATATATCAAAACCGTTGCAAAATTAGCATCTGCTAAAGTTGCATCTCTTTATCAAGCTCAACATTTTCTTACTCGGGATTCTATTCTCTCTCTATAAATCTCAAAACGGCCTTGTATGGAATACTGTTGCCATATCTGGGGTGGATCTTCAAATGATGCCCTTTCTCTTTTAGACAAGGTGCAAAATTGCATTGAAAACATAGTTGGACCTGTTCTTGCAGCCAACCTTCAACAATTATCACATTGTCGTAGTGTCGCTTCTCTTTCTCTTTTCTACAAATACTATAATGGGCACTGCTCTAAAGAGCTACCATCTCTTGTGCCATCTACTAAAGTTCATTCTCGCATTACTTTTCATTCAATTAAGTCTTATCCTTTTTCTGAGACTGATCCTAAGTGCTCCAAAAACTCTTATTCTACTAGTTTTTTTCCTCGAACATCATTTCTTCTTCTTCGAACATCATTTCTTGCTTTTCTGATTCATACAATTTGCAATCTTTTAAGTCATCTGTCAATCATTTTCTTGCTCTACAATCTTCATCTTTTCTCTTCCAGTAACTTTGAATTCTAATTAGTGGTTGCTTGCAGCCTTGTTGGAAGCAAAGTAATATATATATATATATATATATATATATATATATATATATATATATATATATATATATATATATATATATATATATATATATATATATAAATATTCATTGAGTTTATTGTAATCTTCTCTTTTAATCAAAAGGCACCTCAAAGCAAAGTAAATGTTATTAACCTTTAGTAAAATTTAAATGAACCGAATTGCTAATATTTAAATTGATATAAAAGTTAAAACAATAGTAAATACACTTTTTAATAGCTAATGCTTTGTATTCAAATGGTCTATATATAATATATTTTATTAAACACTATTCGAATACTAGTCGTAAGCATTTAATATGGACATAAGCATTTTAATATGTATGCGAATACAAGACATAAGCATTTAATTTGTATTCGAATACAAGACGTAAGCATTTAATATGTATTTGAACACAAGATGTAAGCATTTAATATGTATTCGATTACAAGATAAAAGCATTTAATAATTTTTTTCAAAGGAATGCCTTTCACAACTGTTTATTTTAAAATCCTTGTTCTCAGATAAAACTAAACAAGGTGAACACAAACAAAGTGATATTCCAAAATCATTGGCGTGGCACCAATTTTCAACTGGAAGAGGGCTGGGAGAAAGGTGGCCACCAAAAGAACATCCCCTCCCTCTACGTCATAAAAAAACAATGGTATCCCCAAATAAAATCTTGGTTCATCACTGTTATAGCATATGTAGGTAAATATTTACTGAATTTTTTTGCCAACATAAAAACATACCGTTTTATCTTCACAATTACATCACTGTGAGTGCTTCAACACATACATCAGTTGATGTATGTGTTAGGCACTCACAGCTCCCTGAATTTTTATAGATAAATAAGTTTTTAAATGTTCTGATTAATAGTTGTATGGGATTTATTATGCTAAGCTTTCTAGAATAGTTTTCTACCATTATTTTGTTATGTTTGGTTGGTATTGGTTTATTCATGCGTAACATTGCAGAATATATAGTGCTATTTGTGCATAAATTATTTCCACTTGATAAAGACTTTGTCAAAACTGTAATTAAATATTTTTATGACTATGATTACCTGTTTAGATATTACTCTGAAGTCATACTGAAATAGTCTGCTGCCTGGGACTTCAGTATATACAGTATATTCTGTATAACCTTTAGTCGATGTATCAGCACTTCCTTATAGTTACTGCCACAAAAGAGTGCTGCTATATTGGCTGAGGGTTTTGTATGTGGCAGCAATCTTTTTGTTCATTATTCTTCCTTTTTTTCTTCTTTTTCTGAAAACGTATGATATAAAGATAAGAAAAACAAGTAACAATTTGTTATTTATATACGCTATAGCAGATATTATAATTATATATACACATGAAAATAAATGTATATTTATATGTATATATACGTATATATAAATATATATATATATATATGTATAAATATATATATTTATATAAATATATATATATTTAATTAAGTATTTATATTTATATTTATATATATACTTATTTATTTAAATAAGTATATTTATATATATATATATATATATATATATATATATATATATATATATATATATATATATATATATATATATATATATAAAATTTATATTCATATATATATATATATATATATATATATATATATATATATATATATATATATATATATATATATTTAAATAAGTATATATTTTTATATATATAAATATTTATATTCATATTTATATATATATATATATATATATATATATATATATATACATATATATATATATATATATATATATATATATATATATATATATATATATATATATATATATATATATATATGTATATATATGTATATATATGTATATATATATATATTTATATGTATATATATATATATATATATATATATATATATATATATATATATATATATATATATATATATATATATATATATATATATATATATATATGTATGTATATATATATATATATATATATATTTATATATGTGTATATGTATACATATATATATACGTGTGTGTTTATATATATGTATATATTTTTATATGTATATATATAGGACTCCTTGCATCCCTGGAGAGTACTCACTTGGTAAATCACAAAAATGTTTATTGTGCGACAAAGGTTATTATTGCACAACTACAACTTCTTTACCTGTAAAATGCCAACGAGGATATTATTCTCATGAAAAACAAGTAAATTGTACAAAGTGTGAAGCTGGATATCAATGTTCTAACCCAACTGGTATGTTCTTTTCATTTATTAAAAGCCAAATACGTATAAGTATATATTTATGCATTGGAATGCCTGAAATGTAATTTAAACTTTTCTTTAACTTCATTGTTTATACCTTTAATCTCAAATAAAATAATGTAAAAAAAGTATAAATACAAAAATATACAATATTCTTTTGAAATTAAATTATAAAGTTGAAGTTTTGACTGTTAAATATATTATGCAAAGCTTAAAGACTTTTAAAAAACACTTCAAAATATATTTTATAAATAAAAACTCAAGAAAAAATTATTTAAAGTATTTTGCTATGAAATAAAATTCGAAGAGATTTCACTCTCAACTCAGTAAGTTACATCATATTCATTAAAATAATTTTTAATTGAAAAAAAATTATAGGGATCGCTCAAGACCCTCAAACATCAAGCGGGTCCCTAATATTTTGAAAAAAAAATCTTGGGTCCCAAAAGAAGTGAAATTTTATAAAAATTTCAAAAATGAGAATCATTTTATATAAAGATTACTAGTTTAAATTTTATGGCTTAAAACGTTTTTAACAAAAAATAAAAAGTACATATTTTCAAAGTTTTTTTTAAATAAACTTTTATAATTTGTGTTTCCTTAAATTGTTTTTATTATTTTAAAATTTTTTAAAATAATAAAAACAATTTATGTTTTGATTGATGTTTAAGGGTCTTAAGCAACCCCTAAAATTTTTTTTTATTTAAAAATTTTTTAAATTTAGTATTAATTTATTACATGGAACACATTTAGGGGGTGGCAGCAGACAATTTCAAAAAAATATAAATATATATATATATATATAATATATATATATATATATATATATATATATATATATATATATATATATATATATATATATATATATATATATATATATATATAAATAAATATATATATATATATATATATATATAAATAATATATATATATATATATATATATATATATATATATATATATATATATATATATATATATATATCAAGTCTCGGAATTAGGGTCAGTATTCGGCAATGCCCACCTAACTGCTGACCTAAAAGTGTTTGAGGTCGGCAATTATTGCCCAATTTGTTTCTATATTTTATGGTAAGACCTTTGTATCAATTTTTTTTTTGCCGACCTCTAAAACATTTTTAGAGGTTTATATATATATATATATATATATATATATATATATATATATATATATATTATATATATATATATATATATATATATATATATATATATATATGTATATATATATTTGTGGGTTATTTGTGGGTTACTTACATAAACATAAATAGTAAAAAATATCTAGATCATTTAAAATAATAATTTTAGTTTTAGGCAATAGTAACAAAAAAAAGCAAAAGATTGACTTTTTATTATTGCATTTTTGTGGGCATCTTTAAGGTAAAAAAGTTCAATATTGAAGATTTGATTGAAATATTTAACAAAACAAAATAAATGCTTAAATATTGAGTTAATTGTTTTTAAACAAACATAATAAGGTTATACCTTACCAGTATAAGAATTTCATTGTATAACCAATGTAAGAACTTCATTAAAACCCATATTAAAAAAATCTTAAAAAAAATAACAAATAACTAAAGAGGTTTAATAGTTTTTAATAAGCCATATAAATTTTTAGCTTTATATTTTCTATTAAAAACTTTTTAAAAATAAAATATAAAATGCAAACTATTTATTCTAAAAAGAAAAGAACTTTTTAATACGCAATATGTTTTTCAGTTGCTTTTTTAACTTAGTATATAAAATACGACTGAAAATAATAGATAAACACATATTTGATAACATTCATAAAATCTTTTTTTTTTTTCTATTCACAGTTATAAAAATTTGTTTGTTTAAATTTTGTTTGGTTAAATACATAACACAAAAACAATTTTAAAAAATATCAAACTCATTCCTTTATAATAAACAGATTCCTTAGATAAATAGCACTAAACTTGTAAAGAGTTTCCTTTTTTTTAATAGTAGGGTTTAAACACTGAAGCTTCTCTGATTTTTCTTTAAACATGTTGGCATCTTTTCATTCCAAAAATTTCAAATTTGGACTTATCGGGGTACAGAACTTAATTATACATTTCCTGGGTCTAATTTTTGTGTTGTTTCACATATTTAAGTCGCTTTTTTTTATTGCCATGCTGTAAAAATGGTTTTCAAATTGCAACACACCCTCTTAATCCTAATTCTCTAAACTTTTTAATGATTTCTGTAACATCAGTCTTCAAATATTTTGTTTTAGATGAAATTTGGCACTGCAAATAACCTTCGTGAAGCACAATAACTTTTTGTCTCTCTATTAAAGATATTTTACCCATAGTTACCCATAGTTAACCATAGCAACATTTAATTAATATAAAAAAATATAGTCTAATAACTTTGTTTTTAGCTGTTTGTTTAACTGTGTTCATAAAAAATAACAACTTTTTAAAAATGTACCAAAACCAATAAATATTGTACTAAATTCATTCTATGACTGCACTTTATACTGTCAAAAACTTAAGTTAATCAGTTTGAATAAGTTTATTTTTATTTCTTATTTAGATTTAGGCTTATATAGACATATATAACATTATATTGCATACTGTAACTTACTAATTTCTATGTCATTAAATTTAAATTGTGTTCTAGAATAAGGTTTTTGCTTTCATGTAAAAATTTTTGTCAAGGAGGGGGGATAGGAAAGTAATTAAGAGGCCCTGGATAAAATTTTGCAGGGGACTAATTTTTTGTTGTTACACTACTCACAAAGTAGTAGTAGTACTTAATAATTATGAAGTAGTGCTAGTACTTAGTACTAGCACTAGTAATTCTAAAAAATAGTTAGAAGGTCTCATAACTTGGTTGCAGAAAAAAATCCTGGTATTGCTTGTCTGTAGTTATTATGACACTTATTGTTTTAATAAATAAACAAACAAATCCCTCATGTTCCCTCATCAAGTTTTTAAAAAATTACAAAGGAAGAAAGCTATCAATATGTCTAATTATACAAGTGGTCTAAAACATATTTAAAGTACTGTATATACATAATAATGGTACATACATAATGTGTTTGTTTTAAAATTACAGATCCAAATATTTGTCCTGTGGGAACCTACTCAGAGAGCGGTGCAACAGTTTGCTTGAGGTGTGATATGGGATATATATGTGTAGCTGGTTCAAGAAGTGCAACTCCTCTTGATGGTAAGTGTTTTATATATTGTTATAAGTTATATACATATAGTATATGTGATAAAGTATTCCTATTGTTTTATTTGAATGTATTTTTTTTGGAGTGGGATTATATTTCAAAAAAAAAAGATTTTATTTTGGATTGGTTTAAAAATACTAAACCAAAAAAAAAAGAACTAAGCTATCACTTGTTTAAAAATATATGTGCCAAATGGTTTTACGGATTTGTTTGGTTTATCCATAGAAGCAAAAAATTTAAGAATTTTTTCTGTTTTAATATTGTTATTTTGAGAGTTTTTATTTAGTTTCAAATTAATAAGGATAATATTTTAGAAAGGTTGTTACCATTGTTTTCATGCATCAGATGGCTTATTTTTATGCCAATAAAATGTTTAGAACACGTTTTTTTAATCAGGAGTTGACTATGCTATTAACAGATTTTTCTTTTAGTAGATTTAGGATATTGTTTTTTTTTAGGTGTCTGTCCTCGTGGTGGTTATTGTGATGGTGAGCTATTTAATCCATGTCCTTCAGGAACTTACAACCCAAACAACGGTTCTAGAGATTACTCTGTCTGTCAAAATTGCCCATCTGGTTTTTATTGTACAGGCCCTGGTGTTATTGATTATACATTGTTTCCCTGTGGTGAAGGATATTATTGCCCTGAAGCTACTCGTTATGCAACTGAGTTTCCTTGTCCATCTGGAACATACAATCTATTAAAAACCCAGACATCAGATTCATCTTGCACAATTTGCCCTCAGGGTTACTATTGCCCTCAAAACACAGGAAATTTAGTTGGGAAAGAGTGCCCTGCTGGATATTACTGCCCTATAGGTACAGGTGCAGGAAAATCGTACGCATGTCCTATAGGAACATATTCAAGTGCACTTGGACTCCAAAATGCAACTCAATGTATTGATTGTCCAATAGGATATTATTGTCCAGATGGTAGTAAAAAAGAACCTACTGTAAGTCCTATTCCTTGTCCTCCAGGAACATACAATATGTATACAAAAACAGGTTATAAACTAAACTGCAAACCTTGTGATGCAGGCAGAGCATGTCCCTTTCCTGGATTAAATTCATCTATTAATTCATGCAATATTGGCTTTTACTGTCCACCAGGAACAATTGTTGGAAATCAATTTCCCTGTCCTCCAGGTACATACACTAATGAGACTAATTTAAAATGGCCTGAAGAATGCCTTCCTTGTCCTGCATCATTTTCTTGTACCTGGGCTACAGGTTTTCCAGATAAACCATGGCAAGTTTGTCGTCAAGGTCATTATTGCCCACAAGGTATATTTTAAGTAAATTTATTTTTTATTTAATTTTGTTTTTATTTAATTTCATTTTTTGTTACTACTAGTCTTATTTTAAAGTTAATATGATTTGATGCATACAAAGTTTTATAATATAAATATTTAAGTTTGTTAATAAATTTAAACATGGCTGTTATAAACCAAGTTATTAATTTATAATTGCAATACTTTTTACTGTTTGTTTTTAATGTTACTTTTTTTGTTTTTAATGTTTTGCATACCTTAAAATTACTTATTGCTTAGAAGTTTTATTTAATGTTTCAAAAATCTGTTGTTAAATCATTAGTTTATCAATATTATTAATTTTTCATTTTTCTCCTACTAACATTTTCTTCACTGCCTTATAGTGTTAGCTAACAAATTATCTAAAAAGAGTAATAATCTATTAACAATGTCTGCTCATTCATTAATAACTTTATTAGTTTAAAAAAGTTAGTGGTTAAAAAAATTATATTAATAGTAAAGCCAATTGAAGAAAGAAATTTTCAGTTGGGGGAAAAAGACTCATTATTTTAATCCTTCATCCTTCATTTCTAATAAGATATATTATGATAAGATATATAATATACTAAACATGCACAATTATTTAATAAAAAAAATATTTTTTGGTTTTTTAAATGTAAAGTAATATTAAGTTTATTTTGTTTAAATAAACATAAATAATTTATAATAATAACAAAATAATACATAAATTTATTTAATAAAAGTTTGTTTGATTGTATATATCAATTTATTAATCTAGGGAGCGAGCGAGGCGAGGCGAGGCTAGGGAGCGAGGTTTTAATATGAGTAAGATTTTTTTAGAAAATGATTTTTTTAATTTCGGTAGAACTTAGGAAGTTTTTAATCAAAGAAGTAAGTTTTTCTTCTATGGATGGGGTTTTTAATCAATAAGTAGATAGAGAAAAAAGGAATCAAATTAGTCTTTGGTTTTTAGCTTAGTTACAAAGTTAACTTGATTTGAACCACAAAAATTATCATTTATGTATTTATTTTTTTGCCTGTAGGTACTCCATCTCCTACCAAATATGCATGCCCTCCTGGAACATTTTCTGACAGCTCATCGCTTTATGATGTTAGTCAGTGCACAGATTGCCCAGTTAGTTACTACTGTCTTGGTGGTGAAGCATCAACAACAGGATTTTGTCCACCAGGTCATTACTGTCCTCTCAAAACTATGTTTGCAGAACAATATCCCTGCCCTAATGGAACATATAATCGAGATTATGGTAAAATGAATGCTTCAGATTGTCAAGTTTGCCCTCAAGGTTACTTCTGTGAAAAAGGTACAGTAAATTCTAGCGAATGTCCATTAGGTACATACATGCCCTATGGTTATAATCAATCAAGCGCTTCAATTATTGGCACTCCAGCTGGTTACCAAATGGATTGTTTAGTTTGCAATGCTGGATATTTTTGTCTTAATGCTACTATTACACCTAAAAAGTGCGGGGTTGGCAAATATTCTAAGTTAGGACAGTCAGTTTGCCAGGTTATATTTTATTTTTGTTACTTTTCTAATTAATCCAGTCTGATGTTGTGTGACTATTTAAATGTCTGATAGAAAGATTAAATGTTATCTATTAGATGAAAGATTTTTTTTATAACCATAAAAACATTTTTTAGGATTGCCCAAATGGTTATTATTGTGATAGCGAAGCTACTAGTGAATCAGATATGCTTGCAAACAAGAAATGCCCACCTGGCCGATTTTGCTCTGGCGGTCTCACAAAAATAGATGATGCTCAAGATTGTGCTGAGGGTTATTATTGTGTAGAAGGTTTTTAATTTTTTTTTTTCTTTTAATTTTTAAAATGTTCTTAATATTAACTAATAAAGCAGTTTATTGCTTTAACTAACTATTGACTTAATGTATTAAATATTATAATAATTTATAGTAAAATTACTTTTTATTATTTTTAATCAGCTACTCCAAGAGAAGTTCCTTGCCCTGTTGGCACATACAACAAAAATAAGTCTGGCACCTCTTTGATGTCTTGCTTACCATGTGAACCTGGCTTTTACTGTGAGGAAAAAACAACAAATCCTTCGAAGGTATGTGAACCAGGTTACTATTGTCCAACAAATATAACTGATGGTATCTCTAATAACTTAATTGGTTCTTATGGTTCAAAACAAGTACCATGCCCTGCAGGAACTTATACTGATGTTGAACAAACAAAAGATATTTTTGGTTGCTTAAACTGCAATGCTGGATTTTATTGTTTACAGGGTACTGCTAACCCAAAAGATTGCCCAAGGGGTTATTATTGCCCTCCAAAATCTGTATCTCCTACACCATGTCCATTAGGAACTTATGGAAATCAAACAAATTTACAACACCAAAATAATTGTACTTTATGTACACCTGGATGGTACGTTATTTTATTTGTTTATTTTAATTTTTGATGATGATGATAATAATGATCATGATCTTGAAGATAATAATTATAAAGACAATGATTATGACGATAATCAGATATTGGATACCATCATAATCATTGTCTTCATAAAACATGATAATGATCATGATGATGATTATGTTGGTGATAATGATCATGATAATAATGGTGATTATATTTGTGATCATCATAATGATGATGATCATTATGATGATCATTATCATTATAATCAATACTATTATGGTCATGATCATCATTATTATAATCATGGTTATCATCATTATGATCATGATCATCATCATTATAATCATGATTATCATCATTATAATCATGGTTATAATCATTATGATCATGATTATCATGATTATCATCATGATTATCATTGTCATGATCAACATCATTATAATTAATATCATGATGATAAAATTAAACAAGTATTTATGCAATTCTTAGGTACTGTGATGGACAAGGTTTACCAACTCCTCGTGCACCATGTGATCCAGGTTATATTTGTATCTTAGGTGCATCTACTAGTACACCAACTGATGGAGTTACTGGAAGCCTCTGTCCTGCAGGTGGATTTTGTACGTCAGGTCAGTTTAAAAGTGAACCCTGTCCACCAAGAACATACTCAAACACTGAAGGCGCAACTAATAATCAAGATTGTAGATTATGTGACCCTGGATATTATTGCGAAAAAGCGAGTAAACCATTGCCTGAAGGTCCTTGTAATCCAGGATACTATTGTTCTAGTGGGGCCAAATCACCAAATGAGACTGAGACGAATCCTGGTCATTATTCTCCAAGCGGTTCTTCAGATCAGAGACCTTGTGATGTAGGTACCTACCAGCCATATAAAAGTCAACCAAATTGTTTTCCTTGTCTAGCTGGGTACTATTGTGATGAAACAAGAATGAACTTTACAAAACCATGTAATCCTGGTTATTACTGTCCAGTGGGAAGTGAGGTGCCACAATTTTGTCCTTCTGGAACTTACAACAATTATACTCATAAGAAAGAGTTAAAAGACTGTTTACCTTGTCCCCCTGGAATGTACTGCAATGCAGCTTCTAGTCTTCCCACCGGTAAAATTTTGCTATAATAAATTTTTTAAAAGGTAATTATAAGTATTTAACACTTTTTTTGTTTTGTTTTTAGGGTTTTGCAAAGCAGGTTTTTTCTGTATACAATCTGCTGAGTTTGCAACACCTATTCAAGGAGTAAGTTGGGGGCGTTTATGTAGAGCTGGATTTTACTGTCCTGATGCAACTACTGAAGAAAAACCATGTCCTGAAGGAACATACAGGTTCTTTAGTTTTGATAAAAGTTTTTCATTAATTTTTTTTTTAGTTTTTTTGTTTTTTTAATGTTTTTGTTATAAAAACTTAGATCTGTGGTTGGTGGTAAATCTGAATCCGATTGCAGTTTATGTGATGATGGAAAATTTTGTAAAGGTTTGAACAATACAGAACCTACAGGAGGGTGTAGTCCTGGATATTGGTGTAAATTGGGCAATAAATCACCTACACCCAGTGAGTCAGTTAATGGTGGACTTTGTCCGGTAGGAAAATATTGTAGTGGACAAACATCTGTGCCTGAAAGTTGTGAAAATGGTATGGTTTTTTTAAAATACATTAAACATAAACTTTATTTTCCTTCTGCAAATCATTGAATCCTACTATTATTGTTGTTTTTATTTAGCTTTTTGTTTATTTTATTTAAAGCTGCAATTAAAATGCTTCATTACAAATGTAATCATAATTACTATTGTTTTATTTTTCATTATTTTAATTTTCAATTCACTTAAAGGTAAGGGGCACTACAGTCAAGGAGATAATTTTTTTTTAAATGACTCTCACTTTGAATATTTAAATTTGAAATTTTGAAAAGTTCCTTTAGGAACAAAGCTGCAGCACAAAAAAGTTAAACATGGTTGAACTACCAGGTACTTCACGAGGATCAAACAATTATGCTCCCATTGTAATATTTTACATTAATTTAATTTTATTGTTAATGTAAATGTACAATTTACATTAACAAATGAAAAGAATTGAATAATTTATAACTTTATTTAACATATTATTGTTATTTATATAATATATATATTTCCTACAAAATGTTATAAAGTATTAACAAATTAAAAATAATCATTTTGCTGAAGGGAACTTTTTATTCAAATACTTTTGTTTGTAATTGCTTTTAATTTCATGTGTGTGTGTGCGTGCGTGTGTGTGTTAGTGTATGTGCATGTGAATTGCTTCTTTAAGGTTGTTCTAATGCTTTCAACATGAGAGTTGTCCTTTCATTTTCTGAATCAAAAACATAAATATCAAGATTCAGGTCATTTTGACCTGCTTCTGGTAACATATAATAAAGTAAACACCTGTCGCACACCATGCTGTCTTGTAGAACTTGCCTTTTAAGGCAAAAGCTAAGAGAAACTAACGCCTAGCTAAATCTTAAAATGTACTCCTAAGGCTCTTAGTTGAGTATATGCTACTGATAATGAGTCTATAAGTATTTTGTAAATCGCTTAAAGGCGATAAGCAGAAAAGCCAATGTCATGTCTTTTTGGTCTATTGAATAGTTTGAGTCTAATAACACCTATACCATAAAATTTGAGACTGGCTTTAAACTTCAATAAAAACTTGAACAAACATGATTAAAAAAAGATTTTTGGTACATAGAATAAAATATGCAGTATGTGAAAATCAAAAGTTGTTTTATCAAATTTGGTCAAGTCTGGTATTGGTACCTTGTACCATCTTTTGTACAGCATTTAGGTCAAGACTACCAACACAATAACTAATCCAAGGCTCAAGACTTGATATATTATTTGTAGACCATTCATCTTTGTACACATTCTGCATTGTCTAAAAACCCTCTATAGCACAAGCTTCTGGCACATTTTCTGAATTGTCCATGTTTTAAATAAATAGTACCTTCTGGGTTTTTTTACAAATTGGCACAATGAGATTTTGCCGAATTGGACCAGAAGATGTACACAGTGCCTTGATAATGTTTATTAATAAAAGGTTGCCAGTATTTTATAAACACTCTTTTAAATAGGTCTCTTGGTTTATTGCTTGGGCAGAAAAACAATGTAAATTGATTTTACCCCTCATGGGGTGAATGCTATCCATACCAGTAATTTTTTTCAAATTTTGCGACGTTATAGTACTTAACAATGTTACAATAAACTGGTGGTCACACTATTTAAAAAAAATCTTTTCGAGAACAACTATCATTGTTAATGTAAAAAAATGATACAATTAGATATTTTAAAATGCTAAGCCCCATTATTTCCCAATAACTAAATGTTGTATTTTCTCTCTGAGGTTAAGCTTCAAAAAATTTCTAAAGTTTGATCTTATCTTCCAAAGATAAGCCAGGATTGCTTGCATGAAACTTTTCCTTTGGTTTATCTCATGAGTCAAATGACCACATTTTTCTTGAAATCTCATTTATGTTATTGATTTTCTTGATTATATTGTCTTTAAATTCTTCTATTTGCTGATGATCAACCACATACTTCAATCTTGTTGTTCCTTTTTGATTGCTTAAAATAGGCTAATATATTTTATTTATAATTTATAATTTATTATAAATAAATTTAATAGTTTATTTATTTATGAATCTATTTCCTCTATGATATCTTTGGCTTTGCTGTAGCTGGTAGTTTTTAACCTAAACCAAATAAGTCAAATTAACCATCTTAAATTTAAATTAAACCAAATTATTGTTTACTGCTAAATATTGCTTAATTATCAAGTGGTATTATTAAATGTTCTCGTTCTTAGCTCTTTGACATAGTAACGTTGTAAATGCAGTCATACCTGTTATAGCAACCAAGTTTAAATTATTATTGCATTGTTGTATTTTTTTTTTTTTAAATATTACTATGATTGTTGCTTAAATGAGCTATCAAACAATTAAATCTTTGATATTCAAGGTTATTTGAATTTAACTGCCCATCATCATTTTCCTGTTAGATTATATTATAATATTAAATATAAAACAATCATCAAATCATGGATCTACCAACTATTTCAAGTTAATTGATATAATAAATGTAATAATTAATATAATAAATATAAAAATTGATATAATAAATATAATAAAGTTAGTTAACTCAATCATTATCTAATAATTAAATGTTATTATTTTTATTATTGTTATTATTACGAATTAATTTCAAACTAATATTATTAATGTTATTGTTATTATAATTGTTATTATTATCATTTTTATTTTTTGTCAAATATATTTTTTATTTGATATTGACAACTAATTCAAGGATCAAAAAAGTTTCATGTGTTATATAGTTGTATTATAACCTTTTCATAATTATACAATCTTTTTTGAGTTTAATAATTATTTGATTTAATACAGGTATATTGAACAGGTAAATTTAACTTTAAGGTAAAAACGTTAGTAAAGTGAACTGTTTTTGTAAACTATCAAATTTTTACATAATTTTGGTTTGAAGTATTTTATTATATTAGGTAATAAGAAATTCAGAATTAAACTATGAGGTACTAAAAATTCATTTTAATTTTCATTGTAGTATCAGATATTAAAATTTTATTCGTTTTGAAGTTCCTTGCTCTTTTGAAAATTGATTGGGTTTTATAATTACAAGGGTTGTTCTTAAACCATTTTGCTTCTCATTTTTCCAAATAATAAATGTAAATGAAACTTGTTTTTTATTTTTATTTTTGTCCTATTTATTCAGACTGAAAGTTACAGAGAAATTCACATAAAATACTCTTTTTTCATAATGCTTCTCTAATATGCATGATTATGCATGAATATGCATGATTATGCATGAATATGCATAATTATTGGCATCTTCTTTCACTGAAGTTTTTTTCATGTCATCTGTAACTAAGTTATGTGGCACTGTGTTTTTTTACTTTTACCTTTATCTTTTTTTGTGAACCATACAGATGCCTAATTATCTGCATATTTATGCTTTACACACTCAACCATAATCATCAAACTTTATTGTCCGTGGGGGCAGATGTTATCACAGAATACTTTAACCATCTTGTTTTATGGTTAAAAATCCAAAACCAGTTATGTTTATTTTTGACGGTCTAATGAGCCATTTAAACTTTTGAAAAATGATGTGATTGAGAATGATATTACTATTTTATACTTGCTATGTTTTTGCATCTTTTTTTTTAAATTGTGTTTGTCTCCCCAGCACTTAGGGGAAAACTACAAGGGGGTTATTTTTTTTAACATAAGTAGCACTAAATGTGAGTGCGACTTTAAATCTGTGTGGTGAATTTCTTTCTAAATATTATCAGGTCATAAATCTATATAGTTAATTGTTTAACATTAGAAACATTAGATACTTTTAAAAGATTAAAAAAGAATATAAAATGGAAGATTTTATATTAAAAAAAAAAAAAAAAAAAAAGCTCACACAAAAAACATTTTTTTATAACGGAAAAAACCAACCCAAACTAGCTGATAACATTGTAGTTTACTTCACTTTGACCTTGTTGTAATGTGGCACAACTAAATCTACTAAATAATATGTAATACGAAAAAATATGTAATACTAAAACTAAGCCTAAAAAAAAGTAAAATTTAAGTTTGAAACTCAATAGTTTTTTTTCATTAGTTAGGGTAAACTACACTATTAGTAGCTTATTTTTTGTCAAGACATCAATTTTCAACACATTGAAAATTGATGTCTTTGTTTTTACCTTGAGTATTTTGTTTCATACTGTAACTAACACATGTAGTGTTTATAAGAATCAAAACTGCAAGTTTTAACTAATATGTTTAAAAAATTATCAAAATAGTTCACTTTACCCCCCATTTTACCCTAGTCGTTATTAAAAAAATTTAAATATATAAATTTTATTTTTACTTGAAAATTTTGCATTTTTTTAATATTTTAATGTTAAACTGTTTAGGTTACTTTGCTAATGGTGCAGGTGCTAGCAGTTGTACTGTTTGCCCTGCTGGATTTTTATGCCAAGGAAGTCCAATAAATCCTCTTCCTTGTCCTCGTGGTTATTATTGTTATGAAGGTAACAGCACTCTAACTAGCATGGGTGCTCAGTTATTATGTCCAATAGGTACTTATGGTGCATCTGAAAATCTAAAAAAAATTAGCGATTGTTCACCTTGTCCTGGTGGTCGATATTGTGATGGTACAGTCATAGGAAATTACACTGGTTTTTGTGATGCTGGATTTTGGTGCTTATCTAGTGCAGTTGCTAAAGATCCTGCTTTAAAAGTTTCATGTGGTATAGATGGTTGCGCATATGGCCCATGTCCAGTTGGTGGATATTACTGCCCAATTGGTTCTTCTTCACCCTCACCTTGTCCACCTGGTACGTATAGTAATGTGACTCATCTTAAATCTGCAGATGAATGTTTTAAATGTAATGAAGGATATTATTGTGATCGAGGAACTCAAATGAATGCTACAGGAAAGTGTTCTCCAGGATTTTTTTGCTTAGAAGGTTCTCCTGAAAAAGAACCTAGTAATTCTAGTTATGGCGGAGTATGCCCTTCTGGAACATTTTGTCCTGAAGGATCAGCTTTTCCAATACCTTGTCTTAGTGGTACATACAATAATGAGTCTGGCAAAGCTGAGTGTTTCAGCTGTCCTCGTGGATTTTATTGTCCAGTTGGAAGTGTGTTTCCAATTTACTGTCCAACGGGTTATTGGTGTGAAGAAAATGCAACTTCTCCATATATTAATCCTTGCCCTGTTGGTACTTTTAATAATTTAATTCAACGATACTCCCAAGACCATTGTCTTCTCTGCACTCCTGGATATTATTGCAGTATTCCAGGTAATTATTTTATTAAAAAAAGAATCTTATGTTTTATATAATAATGTTGAGGAATTTTGTTATATTTGTCACTCAAAAATAGAAATTTTTCATTGAAACTTTGTATTGATTAAAGGGATCCCTAAGTGTTCATCATATGTAAGTCATTTCATTTGTATTGATTAAAGGGATCCCTAAGCAAAGGGGGGATCCCTTTAAACTGTGTTCCTAACATATGATCTCATATAAAAGAGTATAAAAAAAAAAATATGTAAGTTTTTTTTCTTTTTCACTAAATTGTAATAATAAATGCATGCTAACAAAAAGCAATCGCCGAAATCACTGAAAAACAACTCCATTTTGGTTTTATTTTTTTACCATTGAAACTCGATTGTTAGTCATTAAAAATCACGTTAGTACATCACAACAACTTTAGAATATCTACTTCGATTTTCAAGTAAAAAAAAGTCATGATTAAATATTTAAGTTTTAATCAAGTTTTTTTAATTAGTTTTGCAAAGACAATATAATAGAATTCGGTTGAAAGATGTCGTTAAAAAAAAGTTATTAAGTAATAGTTTTAAATAGTTTAGAACTTATAAAAAAGTCTTACAGGGCTCATATTAAGCTTATCGCGATCTCGATTGCTTTCCACACTTCCACAATTAGTTTTTTCTTAAAAATTTTTTTTTCGCGATTTTTTTTTTTTTTTTTTTTGATTGTTTAGTTACTTTTTTTTTAGCTTAGCATTTTTTTTAGCAATTCTTAAAAGTAATGTTTATATCATAAAGAACGTCACACAAAATTTATTATTCTTAATAGATAGATGAATAGATGATTTTCTTTCAACGTAAAACATTTTTGAATTTAATTTACTTTAAATCTCTGCGGTAGTGGTGTAGTGGTAGAGCGCTCGCTTCATAAACGAGTGGTTCCGAGTTCGATCCCCACCACGTCCTGGTAGTACCGCGCTCAACTCCTTTCTCCGCGCAGCGGCCTTGTTCATCAAGGTTCGTGTTTCGGAGTTATAGAGTTGAGAGAGGGTTATAGCCACAAAATAAGTAGCCTCCTCGTCTTTAGTGGCCTTCTCGGCCTTGAGGAGGTGAAGTAAAATTAAAAAAAATAAAAAAAAAGCTGTTTTACATTAACACAAGCTATTTATATTTTAAAGACAACTTTTTGTTTTATTGTTGTTGAATAGCTTTTTACAATAATAATTAAATACTCATTAAAAACGCGTGTTTTATTGTCAGCGTGATCGTATTAAACAGTTTTCTATGACTAATTAAAGTGGTTTAAATATTGCAGTGAAATATCCAGGAATTTTTGGTGGAGGATGTTGAAATATTTTTGAATTTTGTACCATGTTTGCGTCTCCTAAAAAAAAAGCAAAAAACAAGGTCCTCAATTTTTATGATATCTTTAAGACTTCTGGTGGGGGGGGGGGGTATGTATACCCCCATCCTTCCCCTGGATCCGTCACTGAAGTATAGTAATGTTTGCTTTGTATTCTTATTTTTTTACTTTTACTTTTTTAAGTATCATGTTAAGCAAAAACAATTAATTAATTGTATTAAATACGTTACTTGCTCATTACACTGTAACTGCAACTTAAACTTTAAATTATAAATTAAGCTGTAATTATAACAGTAACGCTATTTTAAACTCCGCCAAACAAGAAAATCCTAAGATAACATTTAAATATAAGGAGATAGTATGTTAAAAGATAACAATTGTGTGCTAAAGAGACAGATATTTTAATCAATGACTTCATGCTATTACTAAAACTCGCAACATTTAAAATTTGGTCAGTACAACAAAATTTATCATAATCGGAAAAAAAGTAAAATCAAAAAAGGAAGCCATGATAACATCCTAAACTAAAAAAAAAGCCATGATAACATCCTAAACTAATATAGGCTATTGTAAACTGCTCATTTAAATTAATACCCTCTTAATTATAACCCAATATTCTCTGAAGTATAACATTATATCCTCGTAAATATAACATTATATCCTCCTAAATATAACCTTATATCCACTTAAACTTCTTTAGGACTGGGAAAAACAAAACTTCTAAAACATTGGCCCAGCTACTCCTAATATGAGGTCAATGCATTAAAGATTTTTTTTTTAAACATCAGTTAAATTTAAATTCATTGAAAAATTTTAGTTTTGGAACAAATTAGATGTTTTCTTTTTTCTCTGTTACTGCCTAATTTTAAAAGTTCAACATTGATATGAATGGTAATGGTATTTCTTTTGTTTCCTAATGGTAATGGTAATGGTATTTCTTTTGTTTCCTTTGATCATTCCAACTACCTATTATTCCCTTTTTAAGCGGTCTATATCTTCTTTGACGATGTTTTGTTTTTCTATTCCTAATGTAAATATTAAAGCGCAGTCTTAAAGAATTCATTCAACAATCTTTAACTTGCATTCATTATAAAAAAAAATAGTCTTGGGGCTCTTCTGGGGCCTCAAAAAAAAAAGTTTGCCAACTTACCCACCCTGGGGGAAGTTGGTGCAAACTATAATAATGATTAATTATGTACTATTGAGTGCAAAATTTATATAAATTTTTTTACTATTTATTTTAGCAACAATTTTAAGCCAAAAATTTAATATTACTTTTAGCTAGTATCAATAATAAGGACAAGTCTGTAATTCCACCTCTTTTGTACGGTTCAGATTTTGTCACCTCACCTAAAGACAAAGCTGAATTGTTTGCCAAGAACTTTTCATCAATATCATCTCTTGATGCCACTAGTTGCGTTCTACCTGATATAGCCGTCAAACAGGTTGTTCCACTGCTCGACATCCGTATCACTCCAGCTTCTGTATCTAAAGTGGTTTCCTGCTTAGACTCTTCTACAATTTGCAGCCCGGACAACATACCTGTTATAGTCTTGCAGAAGTGTTCTCCGGACCTGTCGTCTATTCTTTCAAAACTATTTAACAAGTGATTACCAGAGTTTTGTTTTCCAGCCTGCTGGAAAGCAGCATCTGTTATCCCTATTTTTAAAAATTCTGCAGAGCGATCTGATTCGTCTAACTACCATCCCATTAGTCTTCTTCCTTTCATAAGCAAGGTTTTTGAATCTTTAATTAACAAACACTTAATCCCTCATCTCGAATCTCATAACCTACTTTCTGATCATCAATATGGATTTCGATCTTCTAGTTCTACGGCTGATTTGCTAACAGTAATAACCGATAGGTTTTATTGCGCATTAGATAAAGGTGTAGAGGTTAAGGTTATCGCTCTTGACATTTCTAAAGCATTTGATAAAGTTTGGCATGCTGGTCTTCTCCATAAGCTTTTCTCTTATGGTATATCTGGAAACATCTTTAAGGTTATTGAATCCTTCCTTTCCAATCGTAGTATGAAAATTGTCCTTGATGGACAGCACTCTTCTTTTTATTCTGTAACCTCAGGGGTTCCTCAAGGTTCAATCCTTTCAATCTTCCAGACTTTCTCACATCTAAGGTAGCATTGTTCGCTGATGATACTACCATTTATTCTTGTCATGATAAGTAGCCAACTCCCTCTGACTGCTTGCAAGGGGCATCTGAGCTTGAAAAGGATCTTACTTCTGCTACAGCATGGGGCTCACAGTGGCTGGTGAACTTTAATTCAAATAAAACTCAATTTTTTTCAGCCAATCGTTATCACAATTTAGACCTTCCTATATTTATGAACGGTAATGTACTTGATGAGTCTCCTACCCTTCATCTTCTAGGATTAACTCTTACTTCTGATCTTTCTTGAAAACCTTATATCAAATCCGTTGCAAAATTAGCATCTGCTAAAGTCGCTTCTCTTTATCGAACTAGTCACCTCTTGCTCTGGATTCTGTTCTCTATCTCTATAAATCTCAAATCCGGCCTTGTACGGAATAATGTTGCCATATCTGGGGTGGATCTTCTAATGATGCCCTTTCTCTTTTAGACAAGGTGCAAAAACGCATTATAAACATTGTTGGACATTTTATATATATATATATATATATATATATATATATATATATATATATATATATATATATATATATATATATATATATATATATATATATTTTATATATATATAAAATATATATAATATATATAGTTTATATTATATATATAATATTTTATATATATATATATAATATATATAGTATATATAATATATATATATATATATATATATATATATATATATACATATATATATATATATATATATATATATATATATATATATATATATATATATATATATATATATATATATATATATATATATATATATACAGACCTTGTTTTAAAGCGTTATGCCTAGAGACAGATTTATGTACGCCTTAAGCGATTTTTAAGTATGCGTAGAGCTGTTTTGGTTAAGCTACTTTTTATCATTTTTTAACTTTTAAATTAGCGGTAACATAAAAGAAGTAATTAATTTTAAAAAAAACCACATTAACTTTTAAATAATGATATGTAAAGATATTTATTAAAAAAAAGAATTTACTTTAAAAATAATTGTTGTAACTTTTCATTGCGATATATCTTTCCTTTTTATAGCAAATAATTTGACGCTAAACTTTTTATCCAAATATTTAGCAACATGAAAAATTGTTTGTCAATCCCTAACTACAAATTTTTTGCAATGTTTTTAATAAAAAGTAGTAATTTTCTAAAGTTTTCAGTAAAAAACTTTTAAAGAATCTATATTTCATATTTATTAATACAGAATATAAATGTTTTTTGTAATATAGATTTTTTAAGAATTTTTTACTGAATTTATAATAAAAAACATTTGTAAAAAAAATTTGTAATTAAGAATTGACATTTTTTTTAATATCTCAAAAAATGTCTTAATATTTTTGTTATCATGATAACAAAAATATCAAGACATTTTTTCGAGATATTAAAAAAAATATCTTTGCTTTTCTTATTAGTTAAAGGTATATAGATACCTTTACCTTTAAGTTATGCGGGGGGACATTCGCTGATGACACTAATATTACGTTGAATATATTTATATAACGAAGGTTTCATTATGCACGCGCACATTACAGGTTCCGTTAAATAAATACTAAGGCACGTTTTAGTTTAATGACAGTCTCCATTTTTTACTAATGAATATGTATTTTTCTTTATAAAGCAAAACAAACTTGTATATAAAAACCTTGTATATTTCTATTATCTCTAAATTGTTTAAAGTTTGAATATGGATTGTATTTTGAAGGACAAAAGATTTACTTTAAAAACTTTTAATTCTTGGGACTGATGCTTTGCCGATGCAATGATCACAGAAAAAGAGAAGACTTACGTTATTAAAATCAGATGTAAGTTATGTGATCTTCATCAAAATAAAATATTATCCAAGAACAATGGTGCCGTAAGGGCAACTGCCCAACGGTTTATAAATAACACAAGTCATGTTAAAATATTTTAACATGTTACTATATTTTAATTAAGTTGATATATATTTAAAATAAAAATATAGTTCAATAAATAAATTAAATTTGTTCTTAACAAAGATTACCTCATATTTTTTTTTTTTTTAATTTTATTAAGTTAAATTGCTTACAAACGAAAAAAAAAGAGTTTTGTAATTATGCGTAGAATGAAAATACTTTTGAGTTTGTTTATAAGTTAAGGAACTTAATTTTTAATAAACAAATTTATTATAAACAGATATGATTCAAATTATTAAATATACTTAAATTATTTCAGTTGAGTATTTTTTTAAGTTTGCACGATTAAAGTTTTGCGTAGAAGTATTTGTTTTTTTGTCATTTTCATAATAAATTTACATTTAAAACGTTTATAATTATTTGTGTTAATTGTTAAGTTAAACTAGTTTGCGGTTATTTATTTATTGAGGTAGTTAAAACACTTAACGTCTATAAAAAAAAATAAAGATAATTTTATGACGTCAAAATTGCGTTAAGCTAATGCATTAAGCACTTTTTTATTTAAAACAAGGCCTATATATATATATATATATATATATATATATATATATATATATATATATATATACATACATACATACATACATACATACATACATACATACATACATACATACATACATACATACATACATACATACATACATACATACATACATACATACATACATACATACATACATACACAAAAAAAAATTGATGCAACAAAATTCTGTTGCTTAAAGCATATTTAAATTACCATAAAAATTAAATACTAAAGAAGATATTAAACAATTTTTTTTTTATTTGTAAGAAAAGTCTTTTTTAAACAAATCTTGCATCTTAGATGGCATACTAAAACATAAAATTGTATATTCAAGCATTATCAAACAAAAAATTAAAAAACTGCAAAATATAAAAAATTAAAGCAACAAAAATAACATCTAAGCTAGTATTTAAAATATTCTCCACAATCTTTTTTGCAAGTAGCACATCTTTTTTGCATCGATTTTACAAGATTGTTGCAGGTTTTGTTTGGTACTCCTTCAAATGCTGAATCTTATTCTTGTTTTAGGCTATTTATGGATTAAGTCCAAATAGATTTGATTGGATTCAAATCTATTGATCAAAGCTGGACAGGGCATTAAATTTACTTTATTTTCTTGCATGCTTTTACTGTATGTGTTGTGTAGGCAGGCACCAAATCTTTTTGAAATTGCCACCATTTGTTTTGATCAATCAGCATGTCCACTGATGGAGCCATGCAGTTTCTAGCATTCCTATATATGTATGTTAATTGATTCAACCTGTATAAATGTTACACATTCCTACTATGTTAAAATTAAAGCAACTCCAAATACCGACACAGCCATTGCCACTTTTCAACCTCGGTCCAACAAAGCTATAACTATACACTCCCGATTTTAATCTTTAACAAAAACTTTGCTTTTTCTATTTATTACTTCAAAGTTACTTTCATCACTAAAAATTACTTGCTTCCACTTCTCCAAAGACCACCCAATTCTTACACCACCTAAAAATGGTCATCAACATAGATTTTCTAACAGCTGCATAGACACCAATTTTTTTCCTTAGTAAAATGTTTCTAACTGTATTTGACAAAATATGTTTTCAGTATTTTTTTTTTAACCTTCCTGCATGGTGTTGGATGCCAACTGTTGTTTCAAATGTCTTTAGAGTAAATCTGACGCAATTCTCTGAAATTTTTAATTTTCTTGCTATTTCTCTATAACTGATCATTGACCTATTATTTGCCACTTTGTTGCTTTGCTTACTGCTTTTTGACCCATTTCTATGTATATTTACTTTTAGGTTTTATCAAATTATTTAAAAACGCTTTAAATGCGACCTAACTGATCATTATAAGTAATTTTATCCAACATTTTATGGGAAGTTGTCAAACTAACATATAAATTAATAAAATCATTATGAATAACAGTTGGTTATATATATAGTTAATTATTATATGATTGAATATAATTAACTATTATATGATTGAACCACTAAACACATGTGCAGTATTATTTAGGTGTTACCTAGATATTAAGGAGTTTAATTACAGCAATAAAATTTTTGTTTTTTATGTTTAGAAGTTCTTTTGAAGCATATGCATATATTGTGTTTTAATTTTTGATTTCATTTTTAAATTATATTCTTTGATTTTTTTAAATAGTTTGTAATTTAACTTTTATATTAAAAGCATAACAAGTTGAAGAATATATTTTAGGAGCATCTAATGTCAGTGGTGAATGTGAAGCTGGATATTTCTGCTCATTAGGGTCTATTAGTTCTCGAGATAGTATATGTCCATCAGGTTACTATTGTCCAAAAGCATCTCCTGCACCAATAAAATGTGACAGTGGAAAATATTGTCCTAATCAAGGTGATAAAGCACCATTTGGAAATTGTTCGGCAGGATATTATTGTGTTAATGGTGCTGATATATCTCGCCCAAATGACAACATAACAGGTAATGTATGTCCAAGAGGAGCTTACTGTCCATCTGGTAGTGATACACCAATATTGTGTCCTCCTGGAACCTATTTAAATAACACAAACAGCGAAAGTATTTTAAATTGCTTAACTTGCACACCAGGTTATTTTTGCCAAGGATATGGAAACATTGCTCCAACAGGACCATGTAGTCCTGGATATTATTGCCCTAGCGGGCAACAAAAAGCTACTCCAAATGAATTTATATGTCCAGCTGGGTTTTTTTGTAAACAAGCTTCTGCAATTCCTTCACAATGTCTACCTGGTACATACCAAGATGAAGTAATGCAAGATGACTGCAAAGTATGTAATTTTTTTATTATTGTTTACAGATTTAAATGTTGTATAAGTTGCATGTTTTTTTTATCCACAAAAATTCGTTTTCTATTGAGTTATCAGGTGTCTTCTATTTAAAAGGAGAGCCTGCTAATGGTTTGATCAAATAATTTCTCCCTTTTGTCAAGTGCATTAAGTTTATAATGTGGTTTTGTGTATAATTGTGGTTTTGTATAATGTTTTAATTGTAATATAATTGACTGACTGGTAACATGTTCTCCCGTTTAAAAGATGGGTAACTTTTGTCTTTTCTTTTATAATTAAAAAACTGTTTATGATTTTTTTAACAAAAAACTGTTTATGATTTTTCTCTGTTTATGTTTTTTTTAAATAATAGTTTGTATAAATTATAAATTTTGAGTCTTTTAAAACAAAAAACTTTTCAATATAAACTTTTCTAAAATATAACTTTTTTAACAGACCAGTCCACCTGTGTAAAAAATAACAGACCAGTCCACCTGTGTAAAAAACAACAGACCAGTCCACCTGTGTAAAAAACAACAGACCAGTCCACCTGTGTAAAAAACAACAGGCCAGTCCGCCTGTGTAAAAAACAACAGACCAGTCCACCTGTGTAAAAAATAACAGACCAGTCCACCTATTATTTAGAAATTTTCAATCAAGATCTGCTATGAGATGTTGACACCAAAGAAGTTCATTTGTATGGAGTTTACAATTAACAAATAAGTATACAAAAATAAAAATAGTTTCATTCCTTTCTAAATTTACTTCTAGGCAATCAAATACCCACAACTACTTGGTGTTAACATTACATGAATTCTTAAACTTTTTAAATTTTATTGCAATCAATATGTCAAATTTACATTTTTAATGTTTTCTTAACTTATAAGTTGTTGATACAGTCTTTTTAAATCTTCATAAATTAAAATATTTTCCTAAGCATCTGTTTTAATTATTATTGTTTTCAATTATGCAATAATAGTAACTAATGGTAAATAAAATCTATATTACTAATTAGTTCTGAATTTTTTTATCTCTTATTCTGAAATTTACATAGCAACTTAATTTTATTTGGTATCTTCTTACAATATTAAATTTTTTTGTGTTAATACTTTGTTAATGTAACTTCTTCACATTTTGACAGTTTGATATTTATTTGCACTTTGTAAATTAAATTTTAAATGAACTGTAATTGTGAGTATTAAAAATTTATTTTAAATAAAACAATGTTTAAAAGTATTAACAGGTAAAATATTACCAACACTTTAAAAAATTTAGATAAATTTTCATATTTTCTTAAGATTACTTTGAATATGAAATCATTACTACTCAGTTCATGGATAAGTGGATAGCTTAAACTAAAACTCCATTTTGTGACTTGTAGCTTGGGACTTATTTTCAGAGTATGGTTTTAAATTAAATGGTACAGTATTTAAGAGTATGGTTTTACATTTAATAGTATGGTGTTTAAGAGCATGATTTTAAATTAAATGGTATGGTGTTTAAGAGTATAGTTTTAAATTTCAGTTAATGTTTCTAAAGATTATTTGTAGTTTTTCTACAATCTTTAGAAACATTAAACTTATCTAAGAGTTATTACCAATAAGTTTGTAATAGCTCTTTGATAAGTTGACTCCTTTGAAAAGACATTTTATTTCTTAATCTCTGCTAATATATTTATGTTACTCGTACATTTTAAATATAGAAATAGTAGATTACACTATTTTCTTTGTTTGTGTTTTTTCCATTCTTGAGACTACATGAACTTTGGCAATAACTTCTTATAATATCCATGACAATAACTTCATATAATATAAATTCTTTATCTATGAATTTTCTAATTTTATCAAATCTTAGTGTTAATGTTTATTTTCCTCTGATTTGCAATCCAATAAAAAAACTTTGCTGTGAAATTAGTTTTAAATCAACTGATCAGAAAACAATTTCAATATTAGGGTATGTGTGATTGACTGAGTATGTATAGAGTGCAATAGTTGGATTTATTGCTTTTGTTTTTAATTTTTCTTCATTGATTTTGTTTGTAGTTTAAAGCTTTCAATTTCTAATTTAGATTCAATTATTTAAATTACCTCAATATTTCTTATTTATTAATTAACTCTATATTTCTTAAGAAAAATTTTAATGCAATAGAAGAGTTTAGATGTAATATTTAAGATCATTAAAAAAATTACATAAAAAATTTCGTAGAAATTTTGTAGAAATTTTTTACATCCTTTTAAAGCGATGCTACCTTTGAATGATATTAAAATCAAACACGTAGTTGTATTGCATGACAAAATCCTGCTCGGGTATTGAAACATGGTAATCTTTTTCAAATTTTTAAAGCATCAAACATTTTTTTTTTCTTTTATTTGAAAAGTTTAACTTGATTTTTTTTGAGCTGTAAAGTTTTGAGCATTTTTAGAGGCAAAATTAATAAAAATATTTTTTGTTTCCAGAATAAGATTTGTTTAAATCAGAGAAGGATGTGAGAAGGTCAGAAGATGAGGTACAGAGGTTCAGAGAAGGAGGGAAGAAAGTCAGAAGATGTGTTGCAGAGGTTCACAGGAAGTGTAAGAGTTTAGAGGAAGAGATGAGGAGGAAAAGACAGATGAGTTTAGAGGTTGAGGTGGAGCAGTTCTGATTAAAAATAAGATTGCATATAGCAGAAAATGAGAATATTTTGGATAGTAATGAAGAAATTTTTTTAGATTTATAACAATAAAAAAAAACAACTCTTAGTGACTATTTGATTTGTTTCTTAAAATTAAATAAAAATTGTTTCTCAAAATTTACAAAGTAAATCTCCAAAAGTAAGAAAAGAAAGAAGAAATGAAAAATTTTTCTTTGTTTGTTTTCTCCTAATTATGCATTTTTGACTCAGTTTGCTTTAGTCTGTACCCCAGTCATGATTTCAAATGTTCTCTCTGTCACATACACAGTATATATATATACATATATATATATATATATATATATATATATATATATATATATATATATATATATATATATATATATATATATATATATATATATATATATATATATATATATATATATATATATATATATATAAATATATATATATATATATATATATATATATATATATATATATATATTTGTGTGTGTGTGTGTGTGTATTTACATATATATATAAGTATAATATTTATGTTTGCATATATATATATATATATATATATATATATATATATATATATATATATATATATTTGTGTGTGTGTGTGTATATATTTACATATGTGTGTGTGTGTGTGTGTGTGTGTGTGTGTGTGTATATATTTACATATATATATAAGTATAATATTTATGTTTGCAAAGTTTTCTTTCCAGATGGTATGACTTTGAAGAATGGCTTTTGATAATTGGTATTACTTTAGAAAATGACTTTTGATAGCAGATGAACTTCTAATTTTGTTTTTAGCTTTTATCTTGATATTATAGTTTTAAAATGATCATATTCTTTTCTATGAAGAAGCATTTTCTAAGTTATAATTTTATTTCACAAATATTAAATCACAAGATCACAAAATTACCTTTAACCTTATTCATTGACTTTTTTATAGTATCCTGGTATCTTATATATAGTAATATATCTTATCTTTTATATTATTATATAGCTTTCTACCTTTTTTCAGTGATGGTCGCCTCATTGAATTTTTGATGACGGCTGGTTTTTATCTGTGTTTTAAACATGTTAAAGTATGGTTTTATATAGTTTGAAAGTGATTATATTTGTTGTTTTTAGAAGTCAGTTAGTTAAACCATTAATTAAAGTTAAATATTATTGAATAATATAAAGTTAAACATTATTGAATAATATAAAGGTAAGGTATAAACATAAAGCAGTATAACTGTAATATAAAACAGTATTTTGCTTTTAGTAATATACTAAATATTGTAAGAATACTTGCTTTTAGTTATATATCAAAATATTGTAAGAATACTTGTTTTTATTAATATACCAAAATATTGTAAGAATACTTGCTTTTATTAATATACCAAAATATTGTAAGAATACTTGCTTTTAGTAATATACCAAAATATTGTAAGAATACTTGTTTTTATTAATATATCAAAATATACTTAAGTAGTAACCTGAATGTAAGAGACAGCGCAAGAGATTTTAAAACATGTTATTAAA